CCATCTTCACCTTCAACATCCCGCGCAACCCCGAGGAGGACGGCGTGCTGGACCACATGGTGAGGATGACCACGTCGCTCGCCAGCCCTTTCGTGGCCACCGCGTGCCAAACCGTGTGCCCCGACAGCCCGCCCGAGGTGGGCAAGCGCAGGCTGTCGGTGCCGGAGATCCTCGGGCAGCACGTGCCGGACCCAGAGGAGGAATCCGAAATGTCCTCGAGGCCCAGCACGGCGGGATCCTCCTGCAATGGGCAGGCTGTGCTTGAGCTGCGGCCGCCGCCGCCGCCGCCGCCGCCGCGCCGGCTGCTGAGCTTCCTGCCGCTGTGGCTGCGCCGGGGCAACAGCGTCTTCCCCGGGGAGCCCGTCCCCAAAATCAAAGTGAGCAAAGCCTCCGGCTCGGCCGCCGGGGAGAGGAAGCCGCGTGTGAAGGACAAGCACCTGCTGCAGCCGCCCCAGTGGAGGTACAAGGTGCTGAAGGAGGAGAGGAAAGCGGCCGAGGAGGCCAAGACGGGGCAGAAGAAGGAGAAGAAGGAGAAGGAGAAGAAGAAGAAGAAAAAGAAAGGCTGAGGCAGGAGGTGTCAGGGTGGGGACAAAGCTCTTGCTGTCCCCTTGGATTTGCTGACTTCTCTGGCATGGGGGGGGTTTTGTTCCTGGTGGATGGGAATGGAATATCCCTGAGGGTTCACAGGCCCCTGCCTGGCCTCTCGTCCTCTCCACCCCAAGGGTGGCCACCCTAGCATGGGACATGTCGTGCTGGGCACTGATCTCCTGAGACCCTGGAGCTGCAGGAATGCCAGGGAGCAGGACTGTGGCAAGTCCTGCTAAGACAAGTCCTTTCTATTTTTCCCCTTTTTTTTTTTCCTTTTTTCCCCCTTTTTTTTGCCTCTGATTTTCCCAAGCTCTCGATTCCACGGCGTGCGTCGGAATGTGGCTGAGCAAATTAAAATGGAAGTGGTTGCCATGTTAACAGGATTGATTCCATGAATAAAGCTCAGGGCTGCTGTGGGGCTGGCAGGAATGCTCCCCCTTTGCTGCCAGTGTCCCCTGTCACCCCCCCAGTGACATTCCCCACTCCCGTGCGTTCCTGGGCGCTGGATGGACACACCAAGGCTCAGCACAGGGAGCAGCTCCGTGCTGTGGAAGGAGCACCCGCTGCAGGCACAGGCTGGAAACGCTTGGGATGCTCACGGGCTCCATCCCAGCTGCCCCCAGAGCTCCAGCACTGCCGAGCAGCAGCAGCAGGGCGCTGGTGTTCCCAGATTTCCAGATCCCCCCAAACCCCAGGGTGCAGGAAGGTGAGGCTGGGCTGCTGGCTCCTGCAGCGTGGGCAGAGTTTGACTCCGGGAGGGCATCAGTGTCACAGTGCTCAGGGCAAAGATAATTCCTGTCCAGGTGTGCAGCCCCCTCCCTGCACACCCCGTTTTTTGGGGGGACAGGAGTCCACACTCCCGCTTTGAGGCTGCAGCTCTGCCCTTTTGGGGCACCGGGAGGTTTGGGCTGCTCTGGGGGAAGGAGCTGCAGCCTCCCCGTGTGTTCTGCTCCATGCCCTGGCTCGCTCGGGCTCCCCGCACGTGTCTGCCCTCCTTGGGCAGCTCCTGCCTCCATCAGCCGTGCCATCAGCCGTGCCAGCAGCCGTGCCAGCAGCCGTGCCAGCCTGGCTCCTGCCACGCAGGGGGAAGGGAGAGACAGGCTCCCACCGGCCCCTCAGCCCCCTGCCATCGTGGGGATGGCTCAGTGAGACCCCAAGGCTAGGCTGGGTGCACCTGGGGATGGTCCCAGGAAGCGCCTTGCCTTGCCTTGCCTTGCCTTGCCTTGCCTTGCCTTGCCTTGCCTTGCCTTGCCTTGCCTTGCCTTGCCTTGCCTTGCCTTGCCTTGCCTTGCCTTGCCTTGCCTTCCCTTCCCTTCCCTTCCCTTCCCTTCCCTTCCCTTGATGAAATCCCAGCCGGGATGATGATGGAAAGTCTCCCTTTGGCCTCGGGAGGTTGTCCCGGGTCTGGCACGGGTCAGACAGGGCAGGAGCCCTCAGTGGGTTTGATTTGCCCATTCCAACCCCTGCAGCCAGTCCCACTCCGGAGAAATTCACTTTCCCACAGCGCCAGAGTTGCAGCTGAGCTCCCACTGAGACAGAGTAAAAAATGTCCAGAGTAGAAATCCATTTTGATTTAAGTAAAATGTACATTTTTGAATTAAGTCTATAACTTGCAAACAGAGCTGTTTAGTCTAACTGCCCGTTCCCGCAAAAAAACCCAAAAACACCCCCCAAAAAACCCCACTATGCTCAAAGCAGCTACTTCAGCCAAAAAACAAAAATAAGAGAAAGACCCTTGAACTCTAAAACAAACAGAAAAACTGCTACAAAAAACAAAACGAGATGACCCAAGAATTCCTTTTGTAGTTTCTAATAAAAAACTAGCTGCAAGTATAACACAAAATCAGTGAAATAAGTATTTATAGACCTGTTGTAAAATTCCATACATACAAATTAATTTTTAATCGAGTATTGCCAAAGATACACACGTCATTAAAAAAAAAAAAACCAATTCCCACATGCATCCAACACTGTAATAAACACACCAACTTTACAACTTCCACAAAAGTTGTAAAATCTGTTTGCTTCCACAAACCACCACCCATCCGTGCCCTTCCAGCCACCCAGGATGAGGATTTAGGAAGTTTCAGGAGTTTTTAAGCAGTGTTTACCCCCTCAGTGATTTAAAAAAGGAATCGTTCAAAGGCGGCGTGGCAGCGATCAAAGCAGCCTTTGCTGGAGCCGCTCAAGCAGGATGCCCCGCGTCTGCTCCCATGGAAGGGCAGCAAGAACCCTCCAGGAATAACCCGGGAGGGGCCCAAATCCGGCCGGATCGCGGAGATGGTCACGGAGATAAGGGTTCTGCAGCAGCGGGCAGCTCCTATCGGATGGGAGCCGCTCGTTTCCCCCGCGCCGCCCGGGCACGGCCCCGGCTCCCGCGCGGGCAGAGTCCCCGCCGAAGGTCCCGCGTGTTTTATCCTGGTTTTGTGCTTTTGTTTGTTTAAACTTCCGAGATCCCGCCTGATAGGGCTGGCCAGACTCAAAGCTCCGCCGCCGCGGTGCCCCCGGCGGCTCCCGGAGGCTCCGGGCGGGTTCGGGATGAAATTTGGGCTGGCGGTGGTAAATCAGGTCCTGGCACCTCTTGGGAAAGAGGCTGCGATGCTGGAGAGGGGCACCGTGCCAGGGAAACAGCTGGCAGATGTTGGAGTTCGGACGCTGAGGATTTTGGAATTTCTGCGCTGACACACTCTGGCTCCCAGGGGAGCGCTGCATTTTGACCTGAGGCCGTGGAAAAGCCTTCCAGAATTGATCGGTAGCACTGAGATTACGGCTGTGTGGCTGATTAGAAGTGTAATATCACTTTTCTGCCAAAAACCCGCAGGCAGGAGGGCAGGGATGGGGCTTGGGATGGCGCTGGAGGGAGAAGTGGGAGGCTGAGATTGGGGTGGCCCAAAGAGCAGCCCCGAAAGCGGCGAAACGGGAAGCGGTGCTTCCTCTGCCCAGGGTCCCGTGGGCTCCGGGGCAGCGGGAAGTGCCCGGCCCCGGCCGTGGGAACGGCGCTGGCGGCGGTGTCCCAGCCCCTGGCACCGCGGCCAGCCCTGGGGACAGCGGGGACGCGCCGCACACGGCTCCGAGCGCAGCCGCGGTCCCCCTGCCCTGCCCCGTGCCCGCCGCATCTCCCAGCTCTCATTTCCTGGGAGAAATGCTGCTCACTTCCGAAATGGAAAAGGTTTATTGAAACCTCATCAAAAATACAGCAGAGGATTGAATAGAGAAAATATTACTGAGCAGGGAGGTTTCCCCCACCATGTGCTCATCCACACAATGGAAGTTTCATCTTTTAACCCTTATTTTCCCCAAAATTTTGTCCATCGACTCCTTTGCAGCCCCTTGGTGGGGTTTAAATCATGACTGGAAGGCAGGGGTTGCCATAGTAACGAGCTGACCCTCCCAAATATCCCAACCCCAGGCCAGTCCTGAAAACAACACAAGGAGGGTAAAACATAACTATAAACCTATAAAACTTCTCATAACATATATATATATATATAAAATATTTGTCTTTTAATTGTGGAAGTCAACCATCACATTGCTCATCTGAGTTACACCCCAGGATGAAATCCTCTCCTGCCCTCCTGGTGCCTTTTTGGGCTACCTAAAAGCAGAGACCGGACAAAATTAAGGGAATAAAAAAGTGGTTCTATTCACTGACGGGCCTTCAGGTACATGTTGGTACAAAAATTTGGGACAATGGGTGGTGGGTTTTAATTCTTTTTTAAGTTTGGTTCATTTTTGGGTGTAGTCTCTGGGGCTTCAGGTACATGTTGGTACAAAAATTTGGGACAATGGGTGGTGGGTTTTAATTCTTTTTTAAGTTTGGTCCATTTTTGGGTGTAGTCTCTGGGGCGGGGGGCTTCATCTGCCTGAAATGTACCTGAAGGCCTTCAATAAATAAATAAATAAGTTAATTAATTAATTAATTAATGCTTTTTATTCCTTTAATTTTGTCTGGCCTCTGTTTTTAGGTAGCCCAAGAAAGGCCTCGTTCAGCACTGCACCCTGGAATTGCTGGAATTCCAGCATGGAATAACCAGGGAGCCCCTTTGGCTCTGCCACGAGGGCTGGAGCAGACCGAGGTCATTCCCACAGCACCTCTCCAGAACATTCCATCCCCACCAAAGGGGATGAGCACCTTGGGATGCTCGGGGTGAAGCGCTGATGGCCGCATCCACACCACGGGGTGGAATTTGCCGCGAAAAACGGGAAATTGGGTGGGAAAACGCTGGGGGAAAGGACGAGGAGGGAGTCCAAGCAGCCAGGATGGAGCTGGGGCCCGGTGAGCGGGAGGAAGGGAGGCTGGTCGTGGCTGTGTGCTCAGCAATAGGAAATGCTTTATTAGCTGGGAGTGGTGGAGAGAAGCCAGGCAGGAAGAGGCAGTAATAAGAAACATTTTTTTGACTTCTCCCACATCCAGACCACAGAAGCAGCTGCCAAACGGCTGCGTTGGACAGCGGGGTGGCCAAGCAGGGCCCTGCAGGCAGGGCAAGGGTGACAATCCCTCCCCCAGCGGGACGGGCACGGCCGTGGGAGCCCCCTGGGTGGCAGCATGGGTGGTGGGAGGGCAGCAGACCCATGAAGATCCTCGGAGCTGGGGCTCAGGAGCAAAGCTGTCCCGGCTGAGGAGGATCCAGGAGCGGGGTCGTGGCCGGGAGAGCCCCACCAGGGCTGGGCAGTGCCAGGGGATCCCGCAGGACCTGGATGCTGGAGGTGAGTGGGGAAGAGCCACGTGCTCCTGGGGTCTGGGGCTTCCCTCCTGGCTGACCCCCCAAATCAGGATTTGGCCTCGTTTCCTTTGTGTTCTGTGGGACAGCAGTGTTGACATCAGGGTTAGAGAGGCTGGAATTGGGGCCAGGGGCACGACTCAGGGCTCACATCGGTGTGGGGGTGGCAGGATCTGCCCCCAGGTCCTGAAATAAAAAGCAACTGCAGCAGAAAGGCTGGGATCGGCATGGAAAACAGGGAATTTGGGTGTATTTTGAAAAAACGTGGGGGAAAAGGAGGGAAAGTTGACAGCTCTGCTAGCAAGTGAGCTCCAGCAGCCCAGAATGTGCTCAGTGCCCCTCTCTGCACAGCCAAATTCCAGCTCTCCCACAGGAGAGACCCAAATGGTCACTCAGGAGGCTCCATCTCCAAAAACAAGCTGGGGAGAGCCCCCCATGGAGCCCCTTCCCCGTGGAGCCCTCTGAGAGGCCAGGGTGGCCACGCCGCCCTGTCCCTGCCCTGCCCGAGGTGACACGGGCATGGCAGGCAGGTGCCACCACGGGGAGCCTGAGTGGGTTTTGTTGCTCTCTTCAGTGGATTTTGCCACTCTCTTTAGTGGATTTTGTTGCTTTCCTGGGTGGATTTTGCCGCTCTCTTGAGTGGATTTTTCTGCTCCCTTTAGTGGGTTTTGCCACTCTCTTTAGTGGATTTTTCTGCTCCCTTTAGTGAATTTTGCTGCTCCCTTTAGCGGATTTTTCTGCTCCTTTAGTGGGTTTTGCCACTCTCTTGAGTGAATTTTGCTGGTCCCTTTAAGCTCTCCCACAGGAGAGACCCAAATGGTCACTCAGGAGGCTCCATCTCCAAAAACAAGCTGGGGAGAGCCCCCCATGGAGCCCCTTCCCCGTGGAGCCCTCTGAGAGGCCAGGGTGGCCACGCCGCCCTGTCCCTGCCCTGCCCGAGGTGACACGGGCATGGCAGGCAGGTGCCACCACGGGGAGCCGGAGTGGGTTTTGTTGCTCTCTTCAGTGGATTTTGTCACTCTCTTTAGTGGATTTTGTTGCTTTCCTGGGTGGATTTTGCCGCTCTCTTGAGTGGGCTTTGCTGCTCCCTTTAGTGGATTTTTCTGCTCCCTTTAGTGGATTTTGCTACTTTCTTGAGTGGGTTTTGCTTCTCTCTTCAGTGGATTTTTCTGTTCCCTTGAGTGGTTTTTGCTGCTCCCTTGAGTGGTTTTTGCTGCTCCCTTGAGTGGTTTTTGCTGCTCTCTGTGTGGTGCACGTTCATGGAGTGGAAGTGCCTGTCAGTGAGAGGGGCTGGGCCGGTGGGTTCTGCTGGAGGGTGAGCAGAGCCTTGCTCACCTGTGACCCACCTGCAGCTGCAGACAGGGAAAGGAAAACCTTCCCTGTGCCTGGAACCAGGCTGGAGCCTTGGGGTGAGTGGCACAGCTCCTGGCAGCTCTGCCCTGGTGTCCTTCACCCTGGCACTGGCACTGGCACTGGCACGAGGGGCTGGGCTGTGTGTGACCCCCTGTGAAAAGGCAGCACAGGGAGCTGAGCCCTGAGCCACATCCCGTGGCTAAACCCCTCGTGGGCAGCAGGAAGCACAGGGGAAGGTGGAGGAGCTGGGATTGAGGAGCCTGGCCAAGCTGCCCTGGTAAGAGCAGGGACCCCTGGAGCACCCTGCCCACCCCCAGGGCTGTGCCCAGCCGCCCTTCCCTGGACTCCTCTCGCCTCCTGCTCCATTTCCCCTCTGCTTTCCCCTTCCCTGGGCTTTGCTCCAGCCCCTCGAGCTGCCTCTTGCTCCCAGCCAGACCCAGATCCCATCCCAGAGGTTTCCCCTGGAGTTTTTTCCTTCTCGTGATGCTACAAATCCCAGAGAATTTAAATAAGAATAATAAAACAGCACCCAGGCAGGCAGGGTGAGATGCTCTGGATGCCAGGAGGGCACGTGAAGGGAGGAAGGAAGGGACAGGGATGGAAGGCCAGGACTGGTTTGTGCCATTTCTGAACAGCCTGGGATGTTTTTCCTGTGGGATGCCAGGAGCAGCTCTGGATTAAGGTCTGCTCTCAGTAACAACGACAATCCATGGGATGTTTTGTACACAGCAGAGTTTGGGTGAGGCCCTGCCTGCTTTGTGTTTCATGGCAAATATCCTGCAGCTGTCTCATGGTTCAGGATTTTGGGGAAGTGGCTCTAGGGAGGGAATTCACCACCTGGGAGGATCAGCTTCCCTTTTAAATCACATATCCTGGAGCTCTCAGGACTGCAGGGAGTGTGGTGCTGGCAGTCAGGAATCAGCAGCCCAGCTCCAGAGGGGCTGAGTTTTAAAATAAAGCTGATCCTGGTTCAGATCTGGGAGAGTTGGGATTTTAAAACCAAGCAGATCCCAGCCCAGCTCTGGGAAAGTTGGGATTTTAAAATAAAGCTGATCCTAGCCCAGATCTGGGAGAGTTGGGATTTCAAAATAAAGCTGACCCTGGCCCAGATCTGGGAGAGTTGAGGTTTTAAAACAAAACAGATCCTAGCCCAGGTTTAGGAGAGTTGGGATTTCAAAATAAAGCTGACCCTGGCCCAGATCTGGGAGAGTTGAGGTTTTAAAACAAAACAGATCCTAGCCCAGGTTTAGGAGAGTTGGGATTTCAAAATAAAGCTGACCCTGGCCCAGATCTGGGAGAGTTGAGGTTTTAAAACAAAACAGATCCTAGCCCAGGTTTAGGAGAGTTGGGATTTCAAAATAAAGCTGACCCTGGCCCAGATCTGGGAGAGTTGAGGTTTTAAAACAAAACAGATCCTAGCCCAGGTTTAGGAGAGTTGGGATTTTAAAACAAAGCAGATCCTGGCCCAGCCGAGGGTCGGAAGGACCAGCCTGGCATCCCTCCTCCACCATCCCCAGGACCCAGGATCTGCTCTCTGTTTCCTCCCCTCAAAGCACATCCAAGCGAGTTATTTTGGGAGGAGAAGCCCGCTTTCCAGCAGGGCTGGAGGCTGCCGGCTCAGCCACGTCCGCGTGTGCGCTCCCGAGGGCCGGCCTTGCGTGACTGCGCTTCCCCATCAAGGCCAGAATCTAAACAATCTTGATTCCTGTCCCAGCAGCCCTGGGCTGGGCTCTTCAATTGCAGGAAACGGAGCCTTTGGCGTGTTTATGTCGGGAACACGAAGAATGAGGCCAGGAGGGGCCGGGGCCTGCGGCCGCGCGGCGAGGCGGGGGGCAGCGGGGGGACGGCCGTGTTTGCCTTGGCAGAAATGTCTCTTTCACAGGGAGAAAAAAAAAATAAAGGAAGATTAAAAATAGCCAAACTTCCCCCAAAGGCTCGGCGAGGAATTTTTGGCTGTCCCAGCGCCTCTGTTTGTGTCATTGATAAGCTGCGCACAAAAGCAGCCCCAGGAGGGAGACCCTGCCCGTGGCGTGGGCTGCTGGTGGTGTGGGGGTTTGGGCTCCATCCCAGACTCAGGTTTTCCAAAATCTGGGATCCCCAGCAGTGCTGTGGCACCATCAGGGCTGCCAAGGCCAGCGGGGCTGTGTTTTTATGGAGCAGGAGCCCTGGGAGCAGCGGGAAGTTATTGTATTTATGGGGTGCCTTGACGTTGGAAGGAACGTCGTTCTCAGAAGGCTAATTTATTATTTTATCATAATATATTAAAGAATACTAAACTATACTAAAGAATACAGAAAGGATACTTAAAGAATGCTAAAAAGATAATAATGAAAACTTGTGACCCTGTACAGAGCCCCGACGCACCTTGGCCTGATGTGAATTGTTTTGCTTCATTGATTGGCCAAAGAGTCAAAACAAATCACATCAGAAACCCAATGAAACAATCACCTGTTGGATAAAAATCTCCAAACACATTCCCCACTCCCTCCCAGGAGGGAGACCCTGCCCGTGGCGTGGGCTGCTGGTGGTGTGGGGGGTTTGGGCTCCATCCCAGACTCAGGTTTTCCAAAATCTGGGATCCCCAGCAGTGCTGTGGCACCATCAGGGCTGCCAAGCCCATGGGAGCTGTGTTTTTATGGAGCAGGAACCCTATGAACAGTGGGAAGTTGTTGTATTTACGGGGTGCCCTGATGCAGGAAGGAATGATGAACTGACTCCGTGTTCTTAGAAAGCTAATTTATTATTTTATGATACTATATTATATTAAAGAATACTAAACTATACTAAAGAATACAGAAAGGATACTTACAGAATGCTAAAACGTAATAATGAAAACTCATGACTCTCTCCAGAGTCACACACAGCTTGACTTTGATTGGCCAAAGAGTCGAAACAAATCACATCAGAAACCAAATGAAACAATCACCTGTGGGAAAACAATCTCCAAACACATTCCAAAGGAGCAAAACAGGAGAAGCAAATCAGATAATTATTGTTTTCCTTTTTCTCTGAGGCTTCTCAGCTTCCCAGGAGAAAAACCCTGAAAATGTGAATATATCAGGAAGGGCCAGCGTGGGGATCACAGGGAGAAAGGAAGGAGCTGGGGCTGCATGGACGTGGCAGGGCCTGGTTCCAGCACATTCCTGGGCCCTGTGGGGCCACGAGTGGCACCCCACGCCACGGCAGGGAGGTCCCCAGAGCTTGGGAGGTCCCGGGATGTGTTCTCAGGAAGGGCCGTGCCCAGGATGTCCAGAGCCAAACATCCCACCTCGCTGTGTCTGTGCCTGCCCCCCTCCCTTCCCAAAGCCCCCGGGGGTGGGGATGGGCCCTGGGGGGGCAGGGGCTGCTCTGACCCCTCTTCTGTCCCCAGGATGAAGCCGTGTGGGGCCGGTGGCTGGGTGGTGCTGGCGCTGATGACCCTGTCCCTCAGCTTTGCCGCCGGTGAGTGCCAATGCAGAGGGGTGGCAGCAGGTTAAAATAAACCTTTTTTATGCTTTTTGGGAGCATCTCTGCTGAAAATAAAAGCCAGGGAGGAAGCTGGGCTCCTCAGGGACTGTGCTATGCCCCTGTGGTACGGTGAGCCATCCCCCAGAGAGGATCTCAGCTTAATTAATTGTGGTTGATTGAGCGCTTTGCTGTCACCGGAGGGGAGATGGGGAAAGGCTGGTACCACACACTAAAAATGTGGGTTTTCCCAGGGCTGGTGGTGAGGATGATGATGATGGTGGTGGTGGTGGGAAGCAGGAGGAGCTGCTCAGCATCCCAGGGGAGCACCAGGTGACCTGGGACAGATCCAGGCTGGGTGCTCGTGCAGGGAGGTCCAGGGAGGAGCAGCAGAGCTCACTGGGGGATGATTCTCCACCGAGTCCCTGTCCTGCCCACGGGGCCACCAACCCCAAACTGGCCCCAGCAGCACCCCACAGCACCAGGCAGCCTTTGGGCAGGGGGACAGGAGGGCAGGATGGCCACCACAGCCATCCCCTCGCTGTCCCCTCACCACCGGATGTCTGGCTGCCCTCAGGCTGAACTCCCTGATTCCAGGAGGGATATTTTCTGTGCAAAAGGGCAGGGCTAAATTAGGAATTTGGGAGCGTGGCTGCCATCTGAGCCACTCTGGCACAGGAAAGTGCCTTCAGAGAAGTCAGGAAAAACTCCAGGAAAGACCCTGGGTTTGGCAGCCAGCTCCCAAAACACCCACAGGGAAGGCACTGGCTGAGTTTGGGGATTTTGATCTCACCCCAGGCTCCCATAGGTCCCTTGTCCCCTGGGATTTCGTGGGCAGGATGTGACTCTGTGTGTTGCAAACCAGTGCATCCCAGTTAATCCCAGCTGCTGGGCTGGATGCCCAGTCCATCCCATGGAGCCTCTTGGGGGTGTGGGAACAGGGGACCCCCAGGTTCAGGGCTGGGTGTTGGAGCCCATCTGGGAGCTGGTGATTTTCTGGGAGGTGCCAGCATGGGCTCCTTGTACTGAGCACCCACATCAGCCTTCCCTCCTTCTCTGACAGTCCCAGACTGCCCATTCTCAAAATTTGGAGCCTTTAGGAGAATGTCCCCGTCCCCAAAGCCACCAAAGCTCCCGGGTGGGCAGTGGGGTGACCCTGTGGCACAACGTGTCCCCTCCTGGTGCCCGCAGAGGAGCTGCTGTGTGCCTGTGACGTGCCCCACTGCAGCCAGCCCAACTGCACGGGCAAGGTGTGCTTCGTCAGCAAGAGGAGGGAGGAGGGCACCATCACCCAGCACCGGGGCTGCTTCTCCCAGAACATTCTGGAGCACTGCCACACGCCCGTGACGGAGCAGTACGGCATGAGGTGCTGCAACTTCCACATGTGCAACGCCAAGATGGAGATCTTCCTGCAAGGTACAGGGGGCAGGGGGCAGGGGATGAGCTGCCCACGTGGCTGGAGATGTGGTTGGGTCTCAAGATTGTCCTTGCTCAGCACCTGCAGAGCCACCACAGTGTCCCTGCTTGGGGTGTGCCTGCAGAGCTGCCATTCCTGGGGTTGATCCCTGTCACCATCATATTTTCTGGAAAAATCTCCTTGCCCAGGGTTTTCTCCTGGGAAGCTGAGAAGCCTCAGAGAAAACAAAAACAATATTATCTGATTTGCTTCTCCTGTGTTTTGCTGCTTTGGAATGTGTTTGGAGATTGTTTACCAGCTGGTAATTGTTTCATTTGTTTCATGTGAATTGTTTTGACTTAATGGCCAATCACAGTCAGGCTGTGTCGGGACTCTGGAAGGAGTCACGAGTTTTTCATTAGTATCTTTAAGCCTTCTGTAAGTATCCTTTCTCTATTCTTTAGTATAGTTTATTTTAGTATTCTTAAATATAATACAGATCATAAAATAATAAATTAGCCTTCAAAGAACATGGAGCCAGATTCATAATTCCCTCTTCATCGGGGGTCTCTGAAAATACCACACATCCAACGCATGGACACTCTCCCCCAGGTCCAAGCCCAAACCCCTCCACACTCCCAGGTCCACCCTCACGCTTCCATCCCTCATTTTCTATTTGCAGGGACCCCCACGGCAGGGAGGAATGATGACTCTGACTCCATCTTCTCAGAAGGCTAATTTATTATTTTATAATACTATATTAAAGAATACTAAACTATACTAACTAAAGTTATTATTATAAAATTATTATCTTTTTAGCATTCTGTAAGTATGCTAAAAAGATAATACAGAATGCTAAAAAGATAATAATGAAATTATTATCTTACAGAATGCTAAAAAGATAATAATGAAAACTCATGACTCTTTCCAGATCTTGACACAGCTTGGCCCTGATTGGGCAAAGAGACAAAAAATTCACACCAGAATCCAATCAACCATTGGATTAATGATTGGATCCACATGAAACGATCACCTGTGGGTAAACAATCCCCACACACATTCCACATGAGCAAAATACAAGAGAAGCAAATGAGATAAGAATTGTTTTCCTTTTCTCTGAGGTTCCTCACATTCCCAGGAAAAAAATCCTGGGCAAAGGGATTTTTTTCACAGAATGTGAATGCCCACACCCTCATTTCCCCCACCCAGGAGAAGATGCCCTGGTGAAGACACCTTCCCTTCCCAACCTCCTGCTGATGATCTTCGTCCCGCTGCTCTCCCTCCTCCTCCTCGCGGCGCTCGCGGCGCTCTTCTGCTGGAAGGTGGCCCAGCACCGCCACAAGCACAGCGACTTTGGTGACACTGACCTCATGCTGAAGGCTTCCATGATGGGAGACAGCACCTTGGAGGTGGGTGAGCTCCGTGAGGGACCCTCAGTGTCCCCAAGGTATGTGGGGGGGGATGGCCACCACGCTGACCCCGTGGCCACCCTGTTTGCACAGGACCTGCTGAACGACGACTGCACCACGGGCAGTGGCTCTGGGCTGCCTTTCCTTGTGCAGAGGACGGTGGCTCGGCAGATCACCCTCATGGAGTGCGTGGGTAAGGAGAGGAGGCGGCCCCAGCCACCCCCAGACCCAGCTGTGTCAGCCAAAACACAGCAGCAACCCTGTCTTGGTTTGAAAAGTCAGATTGTCTGCTAAGGAAGGCAGGAGCCTCCCCTGAAATGGAAAATGTAAAGCCCCTCCCTCTGAATTGTTATAATTTTGAAATTAAGGGGCTCTCAGGCAAAGATATGGGAGCAGGATTAACAGTTCTTTATTAGGGAATAAAATTAAAATAAAATAAAATAAAATAAAATAAAATAAAATAAAATAAAATAAAATAAAATAAAATAAAATATGCAGTAATAGAAAATAACACTGCCAGAGTGAGAACAGACCCTGTCCCCCTGTGGGTCAGGGTGGTGGCACAGCCCCATCCCATGGGGGCTCAGCCCTCCTGCAGTGCCAGCTGTGCTTCTGCTGGAGCAGGGATCCTGCACAAGGGGGGAGTTTTCCTCTGCAGCTCCAGGGCTGCTGCAGATGGGCCTGCTCTCCCTCTGGGAATGCAGGGCAGGAGAAAGCTGCTCCTCTGGGAATGCAGTGGGCAAAGGCTGCTGGGCTGTGCCAGGCTCAGATTGTGTCCAGGGAGGAATGTTTGAAATCTTGGATTGTATCCAGGTAGGAATGTTTGAAATCTCAGGTTCTATCCAGGCAGGAATGTTTGAAATCTCAGATTGTATCCAGGTAGGAATGTTTGAAATCTCAGATTCTATCCAGGTAGGAATGTTTGAAATCTCAGATTGTATCCAGGCAGGAATGTTTGAAATCTCAGATTGTATCCAGGCAGGAATGTTTGAAATCTCAGATTGTATCCAGGCAGGAATGTTTGAAATCTCAGATTGTGTCCAGGGAGGAATGTTTGAAATCTCAGATTCTATCCAGGTAGGAATGCTTGGCTCCTCCCCTGGACAGGGCATCTCCCAGTGGGATGATGGAATTTTATCAGGCATGCAGGGACACTCACTGGCCATGAACAGAAGATAATTAATAATTAATGGCCCATTAACACATGGTAATTAATAATTAATAGCCCATTAACAGCAGATATCTCCTGGAGGGAGGATTGGTTGTGGCAGAGATAAAGAAAACTGCCCAGTGTGCAGTAGATAATGCCCCACCTCTAACAGATGGCAAATAGAATTCACACATTACTTCACAATTTAGGACAAACCCCAAATTCTTCCCCTGTCCTGCTGCTGGGGAGGGAGGGAGCAGCTGGGTGGGCGAGGGGACGTTGGCCAAGGAGCCCCTTGCTGCTCCAGGGCTCTCCCAGACGGGATCCAGGTGCCCACGCTGGCTCCTGGGGGCACTGTGTGACACGGTGGCACGGCTGTGACAGGTAAAGGGCGCTACGGCGAGGTGTGGCGGGGCGTGTGGCACGGCGAGAGCGTGGCCGTCAAGATCTTCTCCTCCCGGGACGAGCAGTCGTGGTTCCGTGAGACAGAGATCTACAACACCGTCCTCCTCCGGCACGACAACATCCTGGGTGAGCAGCAGGGCTGGGGAGAGGGGGCAGCTGAGGGGTGGTTCCTGATCCCAGGTGTTTCCCAGGGTCCCTGATCCCAGGAGTTTCCCGTGATCCCAGTTGTTTCCTGTGATCCCAAGTGTTTAGCAGGGTCCCAGGTGTCTCTGCCTGTCCCTGATTCCAGGTGTTTCCCATGGTCCCTGATCCCAGGTGTTTCCCAGGATCCCAGGTGTTTTCCAGGGTCTGTGTCCCCAGGTGTTTCCCAGGTTCCCTGATCCTAGGTGTTTCCCAGGTGTTTCCCAGGGTCCGTGATTCCAGGTGTTTCCCATTATCCCAGGTGTTTCTTCCTGTCCCTGATGCCAGGTGTTTCCCAGGATCTGTGTCCCCAGATGTTTTCCAGGTGTTTTCCAGGTGTTTTCCAGGTGTTTCTCAGGACCCCAGGTGTTTCCCATGATCCCAGATGTTTCCCAGAGTCCCAGGTGTTTCCCATGGTCCCTGATCCCAGGTGTTTCTGAGAGTCTGTGTCCCCAGGTGTTTCCCCAGGATCTCAGGTGTTTCCCAGGTGCTTCTCCTTGCCCCTGATCCTAGGTGTTTCCCAGCTGTTTCTCACATGTTTCCCAGGTGCTTCCCAGCTGTTTCCCATGTGTTTTCCATGATCCCAGGTGTTTCCCCAGGTGTTTCCTAGGGTCCCAGGTGTTTCCCAGGTGTTTCTCCCTGCCCCTGATCCCTGGTGTTTCCCAGATGTTTTCCATGATCCCAGGTGTTTCCCAGATGTTTCTCCCTGCCCCTGATCCCAGGTGTTTCCCAGGTGTTTCCCAGATGTTTCTCCCTGCCCCTGATCCCAGGTGTTTCCCAGGTGTTTCCCAGATGTTTCTCCCTGCCCCTGATCCCAGGTGTTTCCCAGGTGTTTCTCCCTGCCCCTGATCTGAGGTGTCTCCCAGGTGCTTCCCAGATGTTTCCCAGGTGTCTCCCAGGTGTTTCTCCCTGTCCCTGCTCTCAGGTGTTTCCCAGCTGTTTCCCATGATCCCAGGTGTTTTCCATGATCCCAGGTGTTTCCCAGGTGTTTCTCAGGTGTCTCTCAGGTGTTTCCCAGGTGCTTCCCAGGTGCTTCCCAGGTGTTTTCCATGATCCCAGGTGTTTCCCAGGTGTTTCTCAGGTGTCTCTCAGGTGTTTCCCAGGTGTTTCCCAGGTGCTTCCCAGGTGTTTCTCCCTGTCCCTGACCCCAGCTGTTTCTCCCTGGCCAGGTTTCATCGCCTCTGACATGACCTCCAGGAACTCGAGCACGCAGCTCTGGCTCATCACGCACTACCACGAGAACGGCTCCCTCTACGACTACCTGCAGAGGACAGCCCTGGACGTGGACACCTGCCTGGGCCTGGCCTCCTCCATCATCTGCGGCCTTGTCCACCTCCACGTGGAGATCTTTGGCACGCAGGGCAAACCTGCCATCGCCCACCGCGACCTGAAGAGCAGGAACATCCTGGTGAAAAGCAACCGGCAGTGCTGCATCGCAGACCTGGGTGAGACGGAGGGGTGAGGTGTGGTACCCCAGGGGTGAAGTACCCCGGGGGTGAGGTACCCCAGGGGTGAGGTACCCCAGGGATGAGGTACCCCGGGGATGAGGTACCCCAGGGGTGAAGTACCCCGGGGGTGAGGTGCCCCAAGGGGTGAGGTACCCCGGGGATGAGGTACCCCAGGGATGAGGTGCCCCAAGGGGTGAGGTACCCCAGGGATGAGGTGCCCCAAGGGGTGAGGTACCCCAGGGATGAGGTGCCCCAGGGATGAGGTATCCAGGGGTGTGATACCCCAGGGATGTGGTGCCCCAGGGATGAGGTACCCCAGGGATGAGGCGCCCCAGGTATGAGGTATCCAGGAATGGGGTATCCAGAGATGTTGTGCCCCAGGGATGAGGAATCCAGGAGTGTGGTACCCGGGGGATGAGGTATCCCAAGGGTGAGGCACCCCAGGGGTGAGGTACCCCAGGGATGTGGCACTTATGGGTGTGAAACCCCAGGGCAGTGATAGCCAGGGCTGCAGCACCCAAGGGCACCCAGGGGTGTGATACCCCGGGGATGTGGTGCCCCAGGGATGAGGTACCCCAGGGATGAGGTATCCAGGGATGAGGCACCCCAGAGGTGAGGTACACCAAGGATGAGGTACCCCAGGGGTGTGGTACTCAAGGAATGAGATACCCCAGGGATGTGGTATCCAGGGGTATGGTAACCCAGACGTGTAGTACCCCAGGGATGAGGTACCCCAAGGATGAGGTACCCCAGGGATGTAATAACCCAGGGATGAGTAATACAGGGGTGTGGTACCCCAGTGATGTGGTACCCCCGATGTGTGGTACCCCAGGGATAAGGCACCCCAAGGATGGGGTATCCAGGGGTGTGGTACCCCCAGTCATGTGGTACCCTGGAGATGAGGCACCCCAGGGATGAGGTATTCAGGGATGAGGGACCCTGGGGATGACATGCCCCAGGGATGTGGTACCTCATGGATGAGGTACCCCAGAGATGAGGAATCCAGAGGGGTGGTACCCCAGGGATGATGTACCCTGGGGATGAGGTACCCCAGAGGTGAAGTACCCTGGGGATGTGGTACTCCAGGGACGTGATACCCCAAGGATGAGGTACCCCAGAAATGAGGTACCCCAGAAATGAGGTACCCCAAGAATGAGGTACCCCAGGGATGAGATACCCCGGAGCTGTGGAACCTCAGGGACATGGTGCTCTGGGGTTGTGCAACCCCACAGATGTGATGCTCCAAGGACTGTGGTACCCTGGGGATGGAACATTCCAGGGATGTGATGCCCCAGGGTGGGGGTGCCACAGGGACGTGGCATCCTGGGGTTTTGGGACCTAAGAGATATTGAGCCCCATGGATGCAGCACCAGCACAGCACTGCTCAGGGCCGGTATCCCAGAATTTTATAGAATTTATGACCTTAAAGTCATCCCAAATGACTCTGTGACCCGTCCCCCCAGGGCTGGCCGTCATGCACTCCCAGGGCAGCGACTACCTGGACATTGGCAACAACCCCCGCGTGGGCACCAAGCGCTACATGGCCCCGGAGGTGCTGAGCGAGCAGATCCGCACCGACTGCTTCGAGTCCTACAAGAAGACAGACATCTGGGCCTACGGGCTGGTGCTCTGGGAGATCACCCGGAGAACGGTGGTGAACGGTGAGCAGCTCCCGGCCGCCGGCCCCGCTCGCTCCCGGCTCCCCGCGAGGCTCCGCGCCCGCTCCCTCCTTCTCTCCTTTTCTTGTTCCTTTTTTTTTTTTTCCTCCCCTTTCCTTCGCCCAGAAGATTAGCTGTAAATTATAAACACTGTAATCTAGTGTCAGCACCCGGCTCCCTGATTAAAGGGCCCATTAGGCTCAATCAGTGCTTTGTTTGTTCAGCGCTGATTAGAAAACAAGCGGCTTCAAGCGCTGCCTGGAAAGCGGCCACGGCCGGGACCTCCGGCCGCAGGGCTTGGCTCGGGAACTCCGCACTGGGACAAGGGGAAGGGTCCCCCCGAGCTGGGGATGAACCGAATTTGGGCTGCTTGGCCAGCGCTGCTCATCACGGCGAAGTCCATTTAAACATTAATGAAATGGTGGGCGCTGGCGGATGAGTGGGAGGGTCCCCCCAGGGGCAGTCTGGCCGGGATAATCTCATTTACGCCCCCAGGGCTCCCTCGGATTACACATTTACTCCGAATTACCCCAGCCTTGCGCAGGAATGACCTTCAGCCGGCTGGGTTTAACCCTTCCAGGACCCCTCACTCTCCAGGACAGCTTCAGGGTATTGGGGATGGGGAACTCCAGGGCACCCCGAGGTTTTGGGGTCATTCTTTGGGGTGCAGGGAGCTGCTGGGGGCTCGAGGCTTCCCAGAGCCATTAAATCCCACGAGGACACGGACATATGCGAGCGTTAAACCGAGATTAGCTGGGCCAGCTGGCAGGCTGACCACCAGGGGCTGCGTGGAGGTGGCCGCAGTGCCAAGGGCTGCTGTCGGTGCTGGAGCTGATGGTTTTTCGTGGTGGGGCTGGTGCTGGACTGGTGCCAGGGCTGCAGCTGGTGCTGGAGCCACCGGTGGTGCCAGAGGCAGCTGCCAGCACCCCGTGTGCCCAGGAGAGGCACATCCCACGGGGATGCTGCGGGGAGCAGCTCGGCCGTGCCCACGACTGAAATATGGAGCTCCTCGAGCCAGGTCTCATAAACTCCTGGAGATTTATTTCACACCAGAGATAGCTCGGCTACCTCAGATGGCATAAAATCAGCAGGATGGTTTCTGCGGTGGTGCTGAAAACAGAAAAGTTTTAATAAAAGGCAAAATAACAAAGCTCTTTACAGAGAAAAAAAAGAGCCAGGTGCAAAAGGTTCTTGCTAAAACCTCACAAAAGCAATTAGTTCCTTTGTTCTTTTATTTTTTTATTGAATTGCTCAGGGGGAATTTTTTGGCTGCTGTCCAATTGGCTATCCTTAAATTTGAGGTGAAGTCCCCCAGGTCCTACGCGATGCCTTTTTCACTAATTGAGGAGAGAAACTTCTGGGTTTATTTTCCTTTTTAAGCGGACAAAGGACAGTTTGGTCACTCCGTCAACAGGGGGCACATTCCTACACGTGATGTGCAGGATGAGGATGAGGATGGGGTGAGGATGAGGATGAGGATGGGATGAGAATAGGGGTGAGAATAGGGGTGAGAATGGGGATGGAGGCGAGGATGGAGTGAGGATGGGGGTGAGGATGAGGATGGGGGTGAACCCCTCGCTCTCCCCGCCCTCACGCCCCCCCGTCCCGCAGGCATCGTGGAGGAATACCGCCCGCCCTTCTTCGACGCCGTGCCCAGCGACCCCAGCTTCGAGGACATGAAGAAGGTGGTGTGTGTGGACCAGCAGACCCCCGTGATCCCCAACCGCCTCTTCTCCGACTCGGTGAGTCCCGGGGGAGCCGCTCCCCTCCCACCCATTACTGCCCATTAAACCCTCGTATTTATCATTTTTTTTTGTGCCTCCTCCTCAGGTTCTGTCGGCGCTGGCGAAGATCATGAAGGAGTGCTGGTACCAGAGCCCCTCGGCCCGTCTCACCGCCCTGCGCATTAAAAAGACGTTGAAGAAGCTGAGCAATTCCGTGGAGAAGCCAAAACTGGAGCAGTGAGTGCCGGGAACCGGACACCGGAGCCACTGGCGGGCGGCACCGGGGACGGCATGGCTCCGGTCACCGAGGGGATTCGCTCACAGCTCCCGCCTCCCCCACTCCTCCTTCGAGCCCGTTGAATTTGCAAGCACGAAAAAAATAGGAAAAAAAAAAAAAAAACAACCCCAAACACCAAAGGAGGAATCTTCCACCCGGCCATAAAAATATCCCTGGATCCGTCACCCGACACCGGCGCGTCTCGCTGCGCCGACAGGGACGGCAGCTGCTCGCCCACCCCGAGTGGCACCGGCGGCAGAACCCCCCCAGCCCCCGGGGCACCGGGAGCTGCCCGGACCCGCCCGCCCGGCGCTGGCAGCGCCAGGAATTCCCCGGCACGGCCGCTAAAGGAGGGATGGGTTTCGCTGGCAAAGGGTGGCACAAGGGCAGCACCCACCCTGGGCAAGCCGGATCCGCAGCCTGGATTGTGGCGATCCCAAAAATGAGGAGCTGGCGGCGTCCAGAGTGATCCAGAGCATCAGTGTGGGGGTCCCGTGGTGATCCAGCCCTGGGGGGAGACGTCAAAAAATCATTTGGGATGATTTTTACGCTCATCGGTTCCAGCAGCCAGCATCCCCCTTGCCAAAGAAGTGCCCTCTTGGCTCTTTGTCAATATTTTGGTGTTTTGGCTCGGCCAGCTTCATCCTGCGTTGCTCCTCGCCATCCCAAAATCCACCCCATGCTTGGAGATGTTTGGACATGACCAGGACGGGACGTTCAGCAGAACCAGCTTTGCCACATAACTATTTAATTATTAAGATTTAATATATTTAATAAAGTGTAAAGCTATTTTATCACCTAAGAGCTGCCCAAGCTCCCGTGCTGGGCATGGGCACCACGGCAGGATGGGTCTGGGCACCCCTGCCTGGCTCAATTTAGGGTTTCAGCTCCAAACTTGGTCTGTGCCCAGTTAGAGACTGGGAGGAACTGGGCAGCAAAGGGCAGCTGCTGGTTTTGGGCACGGCATGAGGTTATGGGGGGGCTTGGGTGCCTTAATCGGGGCTTGGAGTGCTCAGCTTGGGGCTTGGGGTGCCCTACCAGGGTTTGGGGTGCTCAGTCTGTGGTTTGGGGTGCCCTACTCAGGGTTTGGGGTGCTCACCCTGTGGTTTGGGGTGCCCTACCAGGGCTTGGGGTGTTCTACCAGGGTTTGGGGTGTTCTACCAGGGTTTGGAGTGCTCAGCTTGGGGCTTGGGGTGTTCTACCAGGGTTTGGGGTGCTCACATGGTGGTTTGGGGTGCCCTACCAGGGCTTGGGGTGTTCTACCAGAGTTTGGGGTGCTCAGCCCAGGGTTTGGGGTGCCCTACCAGGGCTTGGGGTGTTCTACCAGGGTTTGGGGTGCTCAGCCCAGGGTTTGGGGTGCTCACCCTGTGGTTTGGGGTGCTTAGCCAGGGTTTGGGGTGCCCTAAACCAGGGCTTGGGGTGCTCAGTCTGGGATTTGGGGTGTTCTACCAGGGTTTGAGGTGCTTACCCAGGGTTTAGGATGCTCAGCCTGTGGTTTGGGATGCCCTAAACAGAGTTTGGGGTGCTCAGCCTGTGGTTTGGGGTGCCTTACCTGTGGTTTGGAGTGCCCTAACCAGGGTTTAGGATGCTCAGATGGTGGTTTGGGGTGCCCAGTCCTGGGCTTGGGTGCCCTACATGGGGTCTGGGGTGCTCAGTCTGTGGTTTGGGGTGCCCTACTCAGGGTTTGGGGTGCTCACCCTGTGGTTTGGGGTGCCCTAAACCAGAGTTTGGGGTGCTCAGTCTGGGATTTGGGGTGTTCTACCAGGGTTTGGGGTGCTCACATGGTGGTTTGGGGGTGCCCTAAACAGAGTTTGGGGTGCTCAGCCTGTGGTTTGGGGTGCCTTACCTAGGGTTTGGGGTGCCCTAACCAGGGTTTAGGATGCTCAGATGGTGGTTTGGGGTGCCCTACCAGGGCTTGGGGGGTTCTACCAGGGTTTGAGGTGCTCACCCAGGGTTTAGGATGCTCAGCCTGTGTTTTGGAGTGCCCTAAACAGAGTTTGGGGTGCTCACCCTGTGGTTTGGGGTGCCTTACCTGGGGTTTGGAGTGCCCTAACCAGGGTTTAGGATGCTCAGACGGTGGTTTGGGGTGCCCTACCAGAGTTTGGGGTGCTCAGATGGTGGTTTGGGGTGCCCAGTCCTGGGCTTGGGTGCCCTACATGGGGTCTGGGGTGCTCAGTCTGTGGTTTGGGGTGCTTACCCAGAGTTTGAGGTGCTTAGCCAGGGTTTAGGATGATCAGCCTGTGGTTTGGGATGCCCTACCTGGCATTTGGGGTGCCCTAACCAGGGTATGAGATGCTCAGCCCGTGGTTTGGGGTGCCCTAACCAGAGTTTGGGATGCTTAGCCCATGGTTTGGGGTGCTCAGCCAGGGTTTGGGGTGCTCAGCCTGTGGTTTGGGGTGCTCACCCAGGGTTTGGGGTGCTCAGCCAGGGTTTGGGGTGCTCAGCCTGTGTTTTGGGATGCCCTACCTGGGGTTTGGAGTGCCCTAACCAGGGTTTGGGGTGCCCTGTTCAGGGTCTGGGGTGCCCTGCCCGGGTTTGGGATGCCCAGCCCAGGGTGGCTCAGTCCCTACCGCCCCAAGAGGATGGCACACGCACACTCCCACATCAAGCACACACACAAATCATGCTTGCACACAAAAATCATGTTTGCACACACACCCTGCACACCTGCACACACAAATCATGCTTGCACACACGTCCTGCACACCTACACACACAAATCACGCTTGCACACACAGCACGTGTACACTTGAACATGGCTCAGCCTGTGTTTTGGGATGCCCTACCTGGGGTTTGGAGTGCCCTAACCAGGGTTTGGGGTGCCCTGTTCAGGGTCTGGGGTGCCCTGCCCGGGTTTGGGATGCCCAGCCCAGGGTGGCTCAGTCCCTACCGCCCCAAGAGGATGGCACACGCACACTCCCACATCAAGCACACACACAAATCATGCTTGCACACAAAAATCATGTTTGCACACACAAATCATGCTTACACACACACCCTGCACACCTACACACACAAATCATGCTTGCACACACAGCACGTGTACACTTGAACATGTTATGAGTGCTTGCACACGTGTTGTGCCTGAACACACGCACACCAGGTGTGCTTGCACACATGTCACATTTGAATCACATGTGTGTACACACACCAGACACAAACAACACGTGAACACACAGAGCACACGCTGTGCACACACATCAGACACAGCTGCACACACAAACGCCTGAACACAGACATCACACACTGTGCACACACATCATGCTTGAACACACCAATCACACATGTGCACACACCAGACACAGCTGCACACGTGAACAATGCCTGAACACATAAATCATGTACACATGACCACACACATCACGCTTGCACACACGTGTGTGCATACACACCATGCAGGCCTGAAGATGCACAAATCACCCATGAACACGTGCACACAACTCACACCTGAGCACACGTGATGTGTGCTTGCACAAACACGGCACGGTGTCACAAGCATCCCATGAATGCACACACAGACACCACGTGTGGTTACAGCACACGTGATTGCACACACACAAATCACACTCGGAAACACGGGTCAGGCGGGCTGGAACACACTCATCATGTGTGTGCACACACATCTCACACACAGAAATCACACATATGTCACGCACAAAAATGAAACATGTCACACACACATACCATGCACAAAAATCACACACATCTCACACATCATGCACAAAAATGACACATACATATCACACACTTATCACACACTTATCACACACATCTCACACTTATCTCACACTTATCTCACACTTATCTCACACATAGTTTACACACTTATCACACATATATATCACAAATATCTTACACACTTATCACACACATATCTCACACTTATCACACACATATATCACACATATCTTACACACTTATCACACACATCTCTCCCATATCTCACACTTATCACACACAATTATCACACCCATATCTCACAATTATCTCACACATATCTCACACTTATCACACACAATTATCACACCCATATCTCACAATTATCACACACATACCTCACACTTATCACACATTTGCACACACATATCTCATCCATATCCCACACTTATCTCATCTATATCTCACACTTATTTCTCCCATATCTCCCGCTTATCCCACCCTTATCTCTCCTTTATCTCATCCACATCCCCACATATCCCCCCCCCCCCCCCCCCCACCCCCCCCCCCCCCCCCGGGGGGGGGGGGGGCGGCTCCCGCCGCGCTCAGCCTGTGTTTTGGGATGCCCTACCTGGGGTTTGGAGTGCCCTAACCAGGGTTTGGGGTGCCCTGTTCAGGGTCTGGGGTGCCCTGCCCGGGTTTGGGATGCCCAGCCCAGGGTGGCTCAGTCCCTACCGCCCCAAGAGGATGGCACACGCACACTCCCACATCAAGCACACACACAAATCATGCTTGCACACAAAAATCATGTTTGCACACACAAATCATGCTTACACACACACCCTGCACACCTACACACACAAATCATGCTTGCACACACAGCACGTGTACACTTGAACATGTTATGAGTGCTTGCACACGTGTTGTGCCTGAACACACGCACACCAGGTGTGCTTGCACACATGTCACATTTGAATCACATGTGTGTACACACACCAGACACAAACAACACGTGAACACACAGAGCACACGCTGTGCACACACATCAGACACAGCTGCACACACAAACGCCTGAACACAGACATCACACACTGTGCACACACATCATGCTTGAACACACCAATCACACATGTGCACACACCAGACACAGCTGCACACGTGAACAATGCCTGAACACATAAATCATGTACACATGACCACACACATCACGCTTGCACACACGTGTGTGCATACACACCATGCAGGCCTGAAGATGCACAAATCACCCATGAACACGTGCACACAACTCACACCTGAGCACACGTGATGTGTGCTTGCACAAACACGGCACGGTGTCACAAGCATCCCGTGAATGCACACACAGACACCACGTGTGGTTACAGCACACGTGATTGCACACACACAAATCACACTCGGGAACACGGGTCAGGCGGGCTGGAACACACTCATCATGTGTGTGCACACACATCTCACACACAGAAATCACACATATGTCACGCACAAAAATGAAACATGTCACACACACATACCATGCACAAAAATCACACACATCTCACACATCATGCACAAAAATGACACATACATATCACACACTTATCACACACTTATCACACACATCTCACACTTATCTCACACTTATCTCACACTTATCTCACACATAGTTTACACACTTATCACACATATATATCACAAATATCTTACACACTTATCACACACATATCTCACACTTATCACACACAATTATCACACCCATATCTCACAATTATCTCACACATATCTCACACTTATCACACACAATTATCACACCCATATCTCACAATTATCACACACATACCTCACACTTATCACACATTTGCACACACATATCTCATCCATATCCCACACTTATCTCATCTATATCTCACACTTATTTCTCCCATATCTCCCCCTTATCTCCCCCTTATCCCACCCTTATCTCCCCTTTATCTCATCCATATCCCCCCTTATCTCCCCCTTATCCCCCCCTCATCCCGCCGCGCCCCGCCGCCCTCCCGCTCGTCCTGCTCCTGCTCCTGGCCGGCCCGCTCGGCGGGGCCCGCGGTGAGTGAGCGGCGGCGCCGGACCCGGCCCGCACCGGGCACAACATGGCGGCGCCCCCGCCCCCGCCGTGAGGGGAGCGGGGAGGACCGGGGAGGGGTCGTGAGGGGGAGCGAGGGAGGATGAGGGAAACTGGCAGGGAGGCGATGCGGGGGGCTGAGGGAGCGGCGGGGAAGGGCCGGGGCCTGCCGGGGGTGGGATCATGGGGTGGGGGAGGCGACAGGGTTGGAGGGGCCTGGGGGTGCCCCCAAGGCTGCGAGGAGGCCCCTGAGGGGTTCGGGATGTGGGGAGCTGCGGGTGTTTCAGGGTGAAGGGAAGGATTTGGGGGTGGGAGCCGTGGGGTTAGGGGTTCTGGAGGCAGGGGGCACTCTGAAGGCATCGAGGATGTGTGGTGGATGTTTGGGGGGCTCACAGGGGTGTGTGGTTTGTGTGGAGCAGAGCTGGTTTGGGGCTTTCCAAAGGGAACGGGGATGTGTCCGGGAGAGGCAGCAGCAATTGGGGCTGGGGGTGGCTCCCAGTGCCAGGGGATGCTCTGAAGAGGCCTGTGCTCACCTTGGGAGGAGATCTGGGAGCCTTCAGCCTGGTTTTGGGAGATAAGGATGGAAATTGGGATTTATGGGTTTCACAGAGGGTGGGCTTGGGGGTCTCAGAGGTGTTTTCTGGGCTTGTCACAGAGGTGTGGATCAGCCAAGGTGGGCAGTGCCACCGTGTTGTCGTGGAACTTCTGGAGTTTGTGGCCTCTCCCCGTTGTCCTGTGGGCCGTGCTGGGGTGAACTGGGCAGCCCCCCGTGCCCCAGAGGTGGCAGTGTGTCTGTGCCATCCACCCCTCTGCACTTGGGGCTTTTTAAGGAAACCTTTCCATACCCTGAGCTTCTGGACTGGAGCAATTGTAAATATTTGTTTGGAGGGAGGAAGAACTCTTTGTGTTGTTGTTTGCTCTGTTGTTGTTTGATCCTTTTCCTTTCCTTGGCCTGGTTCTGCTGCTCATGGGGGGAAGAGTGAGGGATCATTCTGGGTTTGGGAGGAGAATGAGGAGTCTGCTGCAGGCTCGGGGCAAGCAGAGCATCTCAGCTCCGATTTTGGGAAGGAAATTGATGTGGGATGAGGAAGGACCTGAGTGAGCATCTCTTGGGGACAGAGGATGGGCTGGTGGCCCCTGCCTGTGCTGCCCAGGGCTTCCCAGAGCAGTCCAGCTCTGTGGCCATCGGGGTGAGCACTGTTGTGTAACTCGGGTGCCTGTCCTGACAGGTTCCACTGGGGAATATTTTTCTCCTCCCCAACCTCTCACCGTTTGTGCTCTGCATTCCCACCTGACGGTCGGAGGGTAATAACTCTGTGTGTGTGTGTGTGTGTGTGCAGATCCGGGCTTGTTAGAGCACACAAAATGGCTTCACACCTCACCTGGGCAGCAGGTGAGGGTTTACCTGGGAGATCTGGGGGTAGAAATGTGATTTTGGGAGGAGAGTAGCTGTGTTTTGGTGAAAACCCAGCCTTACAAGGGTGTTTCAGCTCCTCTGTGATAACTGGCAGAGCAGGATCAGATGACACTCGTGGCACGGCTGTTCTCAGGCATTCACTTAGGTAAAATATGATGTTTATTAAAAAAAATCATAATTAATAAACAGGAAAGGGCCAATTGACTGTACAAATCCCCTGGAAACTTGGCGACTGCCGGTGCTTTGATTTTGGGCTCTATGAGTGACTATTGTTTCCGCTCAGTGTGTGCTGAGAGGTTTTGTCCAGTGCAAGGTGTGAGCTCAGCCGGGGCTGGAGGGAGTTGCACTCCTGGAACGAGGTGCAGGATGGCAGGGATCACCCTGGGAATTGTTCTCTGCTCCAGCAGCCATGATGCACGTTTGGTATGCTGGGGCTGCCCTCGCTATTGTGCTTCATACCAGAGATTTAACAGCTACTTATTTCGGGAAGGGCTGGAAAAACATCTGAATTTCTGCAGTGCTGGGAACCTCGGTGTGCCAGTAAACAGTGCACACAACACTCCCCCAGCCCCTTCTTTGAAAAAAAATAAAGGAAAATAATCCAGGCTCCTTTGCAAAGGGGTGTTGCAGGTCGGCTTTGCTTGAAATAAATCAAAAACCCACCCTGAGGAATAATTTTGGGGCAGCAGATTTTATTATTAACACCTGCTTCAAATATTTACCCAGTTAAATCAGGGCAAACTGTGCGTGGTCCGTAAGTTATATCCTACAACTTTCCAAGAAAGCCTTTCTCTAACTGGAAATTAAAAACAGTGTCCAACAAGCATTCTTGAACCCGTCCAGCTCCTTGGCCAGACAGTTGGGTTGGTTTTTTTCTTTTTTTTCTCCCCTGGATTCCCTGCCAGCAGTGGATGCTCCGGAAATGGCTGTTGCGAAAGGAGCCGAGGCAAACGTCAGTTCTCTCAGCAGCAAGCAAAGTTCACTGGGTGGTGACACTGGGAATGTGTCCTGCCCTGAGCAGGGCAGGCAGGGATTGCTTCTCTGTTTTACAGGGGTGAAATTCTGGGTGGGAGCTCCTCCTTCTTTGGGCCCCTGGCTCTCAGCTGCCCTGTGCTTCTCTTTATTTATTTCTGTTCAGCAGAAAAAGAGCCTTCACTGCGCTTTAAATCCTCTTGATAAAGTCATGCTGCTTTTTGTGGCCTTCTTGGAAGTGTGGATTGCTGGATGTGGGAATGCAGACCACATGTTAAACAATGTATTTCCACTCTGGAATTGCAATTGCCTGAGAAGCGATGGGGCTGAAGTCTTGGAACCTTGGTAAACCTGGGCATCAGGTGTGCAGGGTGTTCTTCCCCAGCACCAGTGTGTGTGGTCTGTTGGCTCCTCAGCTGGTTTCCTGACAAGTGAAAACACAAAATAAGTGTCAGACCAGAGCCCAGAGAGGGAATGGGGAGCTGGGTGTCCGTGTTCTGGCTGGAAGAGCAACAGCAGAAACATCAAGGCTTCTTCTAATTAACCTCTTAATGATGAGACTCCTGTCAATTCCTTATTTACAATTCATTCAGAAGCTCTTTTGTGTTCCTGGAGTAGATGCAGGGAAAGTTGTGCACTTTAAAGCCACATTCTTCCTCCCTGGTTGGTTTTTTTTTCCATTTCGTGTGTTTTCTAGTCAGCCCTGCTGCCTTCACGTCAGGTCCAGCCTGTGCCAGGGGACTGCAGCCAGCTCAAAGAAGTTGAGACTCTTACTTGCAACTTGAAATATCCCAGGATAATGCTTGGTTTCTGGATGACTTGCTTTAAAGTGCTTTGTTTTTCATAGTGCTTTGCAGCTAATTTTAACTCCATTTCATGTAGCAGCAGTGGGTCAGTAGATATCATAAGCACCAGCAAGAAGGAAAAGAGAAATGTTTTAGTCCAAAACAGGAGGAGAAATTGGAAGGGAAATGAGATGTAGGGAAGGTGCTCGAGGTGGTGGTGCTGTATCATGGGAGGACAGATCCCTGCTCGTTTCTCCAGCTCCTGAGTGAGAAATGGGCAGTGACAGCATCCAGAGCTGCCCTAACATTGGATTTTGGGGGCAGTGGGTGCAGGAGAGCTGGCCCTGGGGTTTGGAGGGGACACCTGGGGATCACTTTGGACTTGAATTTATCCCAGCAAGGGGTGGAGGGATCCCCACTGGGGACACCAGGCAGGGTGAGTGTGAGTGTGAAGGGGCAGCAGGGTGCTCAGAGGGAGGGAACACCTCTCCTGTGAGGAAAGGCTGAGAGAACTGGGATTGTCCAGCCTGGAGAGCAGAAGCTTTGGGCTGACCTGACTGTGGCCTTCCAGTACCTGAAGGGAGTCTGCAAGAAGGATGGAGAGAGGCTCTTTACAAGGGCCTGGAGTGCCAGGACAAGAGGGAATGGCTTCCCACTGCCAGAGGGCAGGGTTAGGTGGGATTTTGGGAAGGAATTTCTCCCTGTGAGGGCAGTGAGGCCCTGGCACAGCATGCCCAGAGAAGCTGGGGCTGCCCCTTCTCTGCAAGTGTCCAAGGCCAGGCTGGAGGGGGCTTGGAGCATCCTGAGACAGTGGAAGGTGTCCCTGCCCATGGCAGTGGCGTGGAACAAAATGAGCTTTAAGGTCCCTTCCAACCCAAGCCATTCCAGGATTCCATGATAACGTAATGGAAAGTAAATCTTGTTTTTGAAAGCCTTCATCAGATGGCTCCGTGTCCCTCATCATTGCCTCAGGAAAGGGAGCTGCTTGTTTCCTTGGAGCTCTGTTCCTTTATCCAGCTGAACAAGGAGCACACAGGGACTCCTGGACACACCTGGGCTCCCTCACCACGAGGGAATGGATATTGTTCCTACCCTGTGTGATACAGGTTGCTCTTTGTTTTGGCACAGCACAGAGCCAGACACTACAGGTATTTCTTTCTTCCAAGCATGTTTACACACGTCCCTCTCCATTAAAGCATCCAGAGAAGCAGCAGAGCTGCAAAGCCAATTGTTCCCCATTTCTCTTGCTGCTGCAGCATGAAACTGGTGCTCCCAGAGTGGGGCTCATTAAGTTTGGTGCTGCACAAAGACACAATCAACTGCAGCTCCTGTTCCAGAGCCTTGCAAAGGCTCAAAGTCAGGGGAGTCATTCTTTCATCCTCAATTCAAACTGTTGAAAAAGAACAGCAGCTACAATCCCTGCAAAAAATCTGTTTATCTGGTAAATACGTGGGTGGTTATTGGCAATTTAACCAATGATCATCTTCAGGTTAATTATCCTCATACATATTGATCAGGTAGAGTTCAGCCCTGAGAAAATGGCATCTTTCTTAGGCACAGCTTTAGGAGATGCTGGAAAATGTATTCCAAAAGGTGGTTAACACCATTGCAGGAGATTCTGCTGTGAAACTTTCCCCTGTCTAGCTGCAGAGACATCTTGACACATGCAACTCCGTGTGAGAATAAATATGTGCAAAATGAGCTCGGAGAGTTGCTGGGAAAGGAGGAGAAATGTTCTTTGCCTGTCAGAGCTCAGTGTTTGAGTCTCCCTGGAGCATAGAGCTCAAATCTGCAGCCCCCCACCTGTTTGTTTGGATCCATTTTGGGAATACAGGTTGTTTTTAATGGGGGGATTTGGAGAGAGAGAGACAGCCCTTGATTTTTTCCTCTTTTCTGGTTAATGCAGGGGGATATGGACACCTCTGTGCCCCAGGATCCTTTCAGAGCTGGGGCTGTAACCCAGCTCGTGGGGAGCAGAAGCAGCTCTTGGGCTTGAAGGAGTCAAACCCTGGGCTGGGCTAGTGGAGGGTTGAGGAGAGGTCACTCAGCACTGCCAATAACAAAAAAAAAATATTTGTTTATTGTCAGTCTGAGTGACCTCTCAGGTTTTGGGGAAGAGCAGTGAGGCCCAGCCTCAGATCGAATCACAGCAAGGTCTGCTCCAACCTGCTCCATGTCTCCAGTGAGAACAAAGCTTTTCCTGCACAGGATCTGCAGCTGAACGTTGGGCTTGTTCAGGGGATATGGACACCTCTGTGCCCCAGGATCCCTTTCAGAGCTGGGGCTGTAACTTGGGAAGCAGAAGCAGCTCTTGGGCTTGAAGGAGTCAAACCCTGGGCTGGGCTAGTGGAGGGTTGAGGAGAGGCCACTCAGCACTGCCAGTAAATAATATTTTTTTGTTTATTGTCAGTCTGAGTGACCTCTCAGGTTTTGGGGAAGAGCAGTGAGGCCCAGCCTCGGATGGAATCACAGCAAGGTCTGCTCCAACCTGCTCCATGTCTCCAGTGAGAACAAAGCTTTTCCTGCACAGGATCTGCAGCTGAACGTTGGGCTTGTTCAGGCAGTGTCTCTGGAGGGCTGGGCAGGGCTCTGGTGTCGGTGTGGGGAGCACATCAGGCGGGCTCAGCTCCAGCTCCAGCCCCAGCTCCACTCGCACCTTCCCCGCCACCCAGCTCTGGGAGCTGCTCTTTGTTTCCCTTCACCCCATCTATTTCCTTCAGCCCAGGCAGGTTTTTTATTAAGTAGATTATATGTTTGGCTCAATAGGAGCTTTTCTTCCCCAAGGAAAAAGAATGCTGTTGGCATGAAAAATCCTTTTATCCACTGCTGTCTCCTGCTTTGCCCCGGCTGCTCTGAGAGCACCCAGGAGATGCCAGCGGGGGCTCTGCTTCCCTGCCCACCTTCTGTCCCCCACCCAAGGGCAAACAACAGCTGCTTTTTCCTGGCTTCTCATAAGTTTCTGATAGAAGAATTTGCCTTTCTGCTTAAGCAAACTGGAGTTACTGGACTCGCATGAGTTGCTCTGTAATTCTCTCTGCCAGGAGCTTCCCAGTGAGCCCCGGTGCAGACAGGCCTTTCCTCCCTGGCACACACAGAAAATTGGAGAGTTCCTGCCTGCAGCCTGGAGGTTCTGGCCAACAATACCTGGAAAGCCCCTCAAGGGTCTCTGATGAGAGGTGGAGAGAAGGACAGTGTGTGCTGAAGGCTCCGTTCTCTTTGTTCTAGCTGCTCTCTGACCACGGGGATTTTTGAGGTGCAAACGTAAGAATTAAAGTTAAAAAAGAGCAGTTGTCTGAGAGGGAGAGCAGGGTGAGGTGAAGCCGTGGGGCATCCCCCTCCTTTAGCAGGAAATTTTGGCTTTCTGCACAGAACAGATAAGGATCTCACTCTGTCTCCAAGCTGGGGCTCTGGTATCATACCTTGCAGGTAAACTGATTTTTTTGTTGTTGTTTTTTAATCCTACAAATGAGACTGAGCAGACACGACCTGCTTCTCTGCTTTCCCTCTCAAAGGCATGCTCAGTTTCAGGCCAGATAATTCACTCAGTAGTTTACAAAACCAGTTTTATTAGTGCATTGAAGTGTTTTGTTTGCTTTGTAGCTTCTGGAAGCAAAACTGCCACAGCCTAAATCTTGGAATTGAGACCTCAAAAATGAGTCTAACAGGAACAAAGTTCAGTTTTGTTGTATCTAAATCAAACTGAAAAGAACCTACACAGTGAAATGTGTGTGGGTTAAATGTTTTTAATTTGTACCTCGAGCTTTTGATAAGTAATAAGGGAGATGCTTTAAAAGACCATTTCCTTTTAAGTAGACATGAAGGCAGGAATGTGCCCTGGGTGCTCTTTGCCATCTTAGATTTTCATAAAATCTCCTTTATCACCAACCTTTGTTCCCTCAAGTGTATGTATTTTTCAGAATTGTCTCTTCTGCACTCTGCTGACCATGGGAAAACACTGATCTTGGAGCTGTTTGAAGTGCATGTTAGTGGAGGATTTTTTTCCTTTCATTATAACATTTCCTCTCAAAATCTTCAGAATCTATGGGTGTTCTCCACCCTTCTCAACACAGATCAGTCTTCCCTGTCCATTTTCTGTCCCATGTCCCTTTTCTCTGTGCTGAGCACCTGGTAGGAGGCTCCATTTGCTCATGATGCTTTTTAAAGGTGTCTCACTCAACAGCTCTTCAGCTTTTCATCACAGAGTTACAGAATCATGAAATATTCTGAGCTGGAAAGGGCCCACCAGGATCATCCAGTCCAATTCCTGGTCTTGTGGAGACATCTCAAAATCCCACCCTGTGCATCCTTGAGATCAGTGTCCAAACACTCCTGGCAGCCTCAGGGCAGTGCCCAGCACCCTCTGGGGGAAGAACCTTTCCCTGTACCCATCCTAAACTCTCCTGACACAGCTCCAGCCCTTCCCTTGGCTCCTGTCACTGGCTTTTCACTGCAGTTTGGATCTGTTGATTCCAAACTAACCAGCACCCACACTGAGCCCATCTGAAAGAGCTCACAACAGCAGCTGGAAAAGGAGGAGCAGCATCCAGAGAGAATTAAGTGAATAGTAATGCAATTACCCTGATTGATTTACCCAGCTCTCTGGGATAAGGGCTAATGGGTGTCTTCCTCCTAAAGGAGCCCTGAGTAAATCAGGAGCAGCTTGTTTTTCATTAAGCTTAGGGGTAAAATGGCCCCACACACAAGTGTTGAGGGTGACTTTGTGTGTGACTTTACACTGAGAGGATTTAGATCGGCCTGGGCAGAGTTAACTGTGGCACTTGTATCTTTTAAAACCCTTCTTCACACCCTCCCTACCTGAAAGCCCATTTCTGCAGCGGGTAAGGACATGTTTTGGATTCCCTCTGGGAAGGCTGGGAGAGCTGATGAAAGCTGGTGAAAACCCAGCGTGCTGCTAAACAAGCCCCACCCTTCTTCATGACATTGTTGGATTCCTCTTTGTTCCCAAGGATGGCAAGGCCTGGAGATTTGCTTACAGTTTTTCAGGCAGCTTGAGAAAAGTACAGTGACAGCTGGGAGGTGGAAAAATGTGGGAATCTGCCTCAGAGTTTCTCCTTCTCTTTATCCAAATAATCTTCGTGGAGAGCAGGCAAAAAGCCAGGAATTTATTTGACCCAAGGTAGTGTCTGGGATCAGGAAGGCAGTTATTAAATAAGTGGCTGATCTAGCTGGGTGTGCACGCCTGGCTCGTGCAGTCAGCTGGGATTGGGTTTGCTTTGGCCTCTGCCAGCTGCTGCCCTGAGCTGAGGTGGTCATTCCTTGCCAGCCCACATTAGGCAGCTCCAGGGAGCCTGGACAGTCAGCCCAGGTGGAATCAGCTCAGTCAGTTTGGAGTAATTTTTGGGTTTGGGTTGAGTCTGAGCCGAGGTTGGGCTGGGAGGGGATCGCGGTCGGTTTGAGGGATGGTTTGGGTCATGGCTGGTGTGATTGCAACAGGGGCAGGCAAAGGGCTGCCTGGACAGGCACCTCCTGGAAAGGCTCCTCTGCCTCCACACTCTGCTTCATGCTGAAATTGGATTCTTGCAGGTCTGGAATACTGAGTGTGACCTGTGCTGTTTGCAGAGCCGGTTCTTCCACAGCTTGAGAACGGCTCTTGAAATGGAGAATTTAAAGAAGGTTTCCTCTGGTTCGAGCTTTTGCTCTCTGTGGGTTTTAAGGAGTTGATCTTGTTTTGATTTCAGCTTTGACATGTCTGTGCTCTGACTGCAAACAAGCCAACTCCACGTGTGAGACGGACGGTGCCTGCATGGTCTCAGTGTTCAACCTGGATGGTGTCAAACACCACGTTCGGACCTGCATTCCTGAGGCCAAACTGATTCCTGCTGGGAAACCCTTCTATTGTCTGAGTTCAGAGGATCTGCGTAATACTCACTGCTGCTACTCCGATTTTTGCAACAAAATTGATTTAATGGTTCCCAGTGGTAAGTCAAAAGTGAGATAAATCATGTGTTTGAAGTGGGAGGAGAGGAGCTGTCTGTTTGGGATTGGGAATTTAGAGTTCTCAGCCCTGTTTTCACTTCTTCCCTTCAGTTGCTGCATGAACTTGAGCGCTGGGTTTATTTCCTTCATCTGTAAAGTGGAAATAACAAACTACTTCAAATTCAAATGGGAATGTGTGTGTTCCCTTTGTCACTGAGCTGGCCCTGCCTTTATCAGCTGGTCTTGCTTCCCTTCCAAGACTCCAAAGCTTTTCAGCGCTGAGAAAAATTAGAGGAACATTGCAGCAGCTTCAGAGCAAAGTGTGTGGGGAGGAAGGTGCTGTGTTCAGAACACATGCAGGGGAAGGAGCCCTGCCTCTGAGTGAGGGTGTGGGAAACTTCTGCTTCTCATCCCTGGGACAGAGAGGGCATGTGGTGCTTCCTCACACCTCCTACTTTCTGTTTTGGGCTGGTTTTTAGTGGGTGCTGGGAAGACTGCAGAGTCATTTTCCTTGGGAGCAGTGGGGAGGTCTCATCTGTGCTCAGAACAACAAATAATTGTCGTCAGGTACAAGTTCACTGATTGTTGCAGGGTGAAAGGGAAAGAGGGAGCAGGGAGCCCTGGCCCAATGGTTGAGTTCAAATGGAAGGTGAACTGCAGACTGTTCTGGAAAATCAGCCCAGAATCCACTCCTGTTTAAAAGAGTGAACGAACTGATCCCACAATTGCAGCTCCATCTTCTTTTTGGGCTTTCAGCTGCATTTTGCCTGCCTGACGATCAGCCCCACCACTTTAGCAGTGTTATTTAATGTGTCCTCAGGCTTGCCCAGACTCTTCAGTAAAACACACAGAAGTCCTCAAAGCAATGCTAATTTTCTCAAAATGCATTCAAAATGCCTGTTTCTCTCCTCCCTTTCCTCCCAAGGACACCTGAAAGACAACGAGCCCCCGTCAAGCTGGGGTCCCGTGGAGCTGGTGGCGGTGATTGCCGGGCCCGTGTTCCTCGTGTTTGTTGTCATGATCATTGTGGTTTTTGTGTTCCATCACCACCAACGGGTCTATCACAACCGCCAGAGGCTGGACATGGAGGATCCTTCTTGTGAAATGTGCCTTTCCAAGGACAAGACCTTGCAAGATCTGGTCTATGATCTCTCCACCTCCGGCTCTGGCTCAGGTATTGCGAGATGGTGGGACGTGACCAGTGAGAACTTGCAGTTGTCTCTTTGGGCTAGTGGTGGCCACAGCTTTGCCACAGCACTGAGGTTGCTGCCCCAGAGCCTGTTCAGGGGGTCTGTCATGAGGAACTTGAAGGGATGTTTACATTCAGTCGTGTGGTGGTCTCATGTTTGTTCAGGTAGGAGCAATAGTTAAACTCCTCCTTAGCTGCAAGAGCAAACAGCTGCATCTGTCCCCAGTTTAGCCTTGGAACAGGATTTGTGTTGGAAGCAGCCATTAACTGCTAACCTGTGTGTTGTTGGCTTTCAGAGGAGAATGCAGGGTGTCACCTGCATCAAAGCTGCAGGAAAATGGGGAAGATCCCAGCAGATCAACATTTTACAGTGCAAACAGTGCATTTGCACAGCCCGTTTCACCCAAAGAACCCTTGGGCCTTCCCAGGTGGATGATGTGCAGTGTTGGAAAGGAATCCCCTGAATAGATGGAAAGTCACTGTTTAGTGGTGCCTTTGAACTAGGAAGGTAGTTGGGTTAAAGAATATAAGGGATTCTGCAGCAGATGGAAACTGTAGGAAAATCCACAGAGGCAGAGAATGTCACAACCTGGTATTTGACCAGGGAATAAACCTTCAGCAGCACATCTGCTGCTATATATAAAATATTTGGCATCTCTTCTATGCATGCTGTGGGCAGGTGAGCTCAGTGCTTTCTGTAAGCAATTACAGTGATGTTGGGACTCCTTTCTTAAGAGAAATTTGGGGGGTTTCTGCTTTTTTGCAGAAACTGACTTCAAGTTCCATTCTTTGCATATTGAGGCTGCAGTTCCTTTCATCTGTCATGAAGCAGAAGTTCCCCAACTGCTCCATGCTGGATCTCTGCTTCAAAGCAAAATGCAGATGCTGCCCAAGCAGTGGCACATCCCACACAGGAGCTGCCACCATTCCCTGGTTTGGGTCCTGCTCAGGCTCCCACTTGTTATCAAATGTAGAGCCTGCTGGGTTTGAGGGCATTCTTCAGCCTCTGGGGTTTCAGGAGGTTTTTTTGCTACCACAGTGTAGGAATGTGCCCCCTGTTGACAGAGTGACCAAATTATCCTTTGTCTCCTTAAAAAGGAAAAAAAGCCCAGAAGTTTCTTTCCTCAATTAGCAAAGAAGACACCTCATAGGACCTGAGGGACTTCACCTCAAACTTAAGGATTGGACAGGAGCCAAAAAGTCCCACCTAAGCAATTCACTAGAAGAAGAAGAGAACAAAGGAACTAATTGCTTTTGTGGGGTGTTTTACCAAGAGCAAGGACCTCTTGCACCTGGCTCAGGTTTTCTCTATAAAGAGCTTTGTTATTTTGCCTTTTATTAAAACTTTTCTGTTTCCAACACTACCACAGAAACCACCCTGCTGATTTTATGCCATCTGAGGTAGCTGAGCTATCTTGGGTGTGAAATAAATCTCCAAGATCTTATGAGACCTGGCTGGAGGAGACCTTCTATCAGCACAGGGATTCATTCCTTCCATTCCTTGTCCCCAGGCCTGCCTCTGTTTGTCCAGCGGACGGTGGCTCGGACCATTGTCCTTCAGGAGATCATCGGCAAGGGCCGCTTTGGGGAGGTGTGGCGGGGCAGGTGGCGCGGGGGCGACGTGGCCGTGAAGATCTTCTCGTCTCGTGAGGAGCGCTCCTGGTTCAGGGAGGCAGAGATCTACCAAACCGTGATGCTGAGGCATGAGAACATCCTGGGATTCATTGCTGCAGATAACAAAGGTAAGAGTGCCTGGGGCTTCACCACTGAGCAGCCAGTTCCAGTGCCTCACCACCCTTTCCAAGAAGTTTTCTCTAATATCCAATCTAAACCTTCCCTGGTGTGACTTTCGGCCATTTCCTCTGGTCCTGTTGCTTGTTACCCCACCTGGCTCCATCCTCTTGTCAAGAGGTTAAACAGCATGAGCCTCCTTTTCTTCAGGTGAAGCCCTCCAGCTCCCTCAGCTGCTCTTCAGAAGTTACCCACTCCCTCCCAGCTCCACTGCCCATTTCTGGTCACATTCCAGCACGTCCATTCTCCTTCAAGAAGTTGAACAGCATGAGAAGGTCCCGCCTGAGCCTCCTTTTCTTCAGGTTGAGCCCTCCAGCTCCCTCAGCTGCTCTTCAGAAGTTACCCACTCCCTTCCAGCTCCATTGCCCATCTCTGGTCACATTCCAGCACCTCCATGTCTTTCTTGACATGGGGGACTTAAAGCTGATTAAGTCTCTGGTCCTCTACACTGCCCAAAACTGACCCCAGATTTCGAGCTGTTGCCTCACCAGTGCCTGGCAAGGGGGAAAGTCACTGCTGTGGTCCTGCTGGCCACACTATGATTTGAGCCATTTCTTACTTGCCCCTATTGAGCTGCAGCCTTACCCAGCAGCTCTGCTCTGTCCCCACAACACATGGAATGCTCAGTGGCCATTCCTGGATCTGCCTGAGCTCCATCTCTTTCCTGTTGCAGATAATGGGACGTGGACCCAGCTGTGGCTCGTGTCTGACTACCACGAGCACGGCTCTCTCTTTGATTACCTGAACCGCTACACGGTGACCATCGAGGGCATGATCAAGCTCGCCCTGTCTGCTGCCAGCGGGCTGGCCCACCTGCACATGGAGATCGTGGGCACTCAGGGTAAAAGCTACACTGGGAATTCTTGAGGGGAGATAAAGCAGCATTGCTGAAAGGAGCTGATGTGCTGTGCAGCAAACCCTGCCTGAGTCAGCCCGGCTTCATCTGGTGGTTATCGAGCAGAAATAGAGCGATTGCTTTGGCTGCCTGTGAAGTGGGTTAACCTGGCGCTCGCTCCCAGGAGTTATATCACCATTTCACATCCCATCCTAAAATTGGCGCTGCCTGGGTGGGATGTGAGCACAGGCAGAAGCAGAATCACAAACTCCTGACGTCGGCACCTATGCTGGGATGTGGAGTTTACATCCCTCTTGAGGCCTCTGCGTGCCACTGCATCAGAGGCGCCTCCAAAGCACGACTGGAGCCTTTCCCTGCTCTGTTCCTTATGAACCTAAACAGGAAAAAGTGTTGCAACAGCGGGTTTAACGCCCTGAAATCCGCTTCTGCCTCTGTGCCAGTTCAACAAATGGATTTCCCCAGCTTGACCCTTGCTGCTTTTTATTTTTGCTCTGCTAGGAAAACCTGGGATTGCTCACAGAGACCTGAAATCCAAGAACATTTTGGTGAAGAAGAACGGCACGTGTGCCATCGCTGACCTCGGCCTGGCCGTCCGGCACGACTCCGTCACGGACACGATCGACATCGCCCCCAACCAGAGGGTTGGAACCAAACGGTAGGAAAATGCTTGTGTGGGCATTGGGGTGGCTGGAAATGCCTGAGCTGTGGGTTGAGCACTGGGGGAATTCTCTGAGTTTAGCGTTTCCCAGTGTCTTGCAGCATGGTTGATGCCAAAGGGATGACCAAAGGGATGGTCCAGGGTCACCACACTGGGGGGTGTGGGCCGGCCATGTAAACCTGGCACAGGAGCTCATTGAATACATGACAACAAGCTTGGCCTCACTAAAGCCTTTGGCACCTTCTGGTGGGAGCCTGATTTAGTTTTGGGACATTTCTAGTCTTTTCCCATCTTGCTGTTGTTCTTGAGTTATTTTCTTCACTCTCTTAGATCACGGGGCCCAGTTCTGTTCTGACGGTGGCTGTGCCAAGCAGAGCTTTTCCTTTTTTCGTTTTGGGACATTTCTAGTCTTTTCCCATCGTGCTGTTGTTCTTGAGTTATTTTCTTCACTCTCTTAAGATCATGGGGCCCAGTTCTGTTCTGACAGTAGCTGTGCCAAGCAGAGCTTTTTCTTTTTTGTTTTCATTTACTGTCTTCCAGAGAATTCCCTATCAGAATGAAAATGCTTTTCCTTTCTTTGTGCAGATACATGGCCCCAGAAGTCTTGGATGAAACCATCAACATGAAGCATTTTGATTCATTTAAATGTGCTGATATCTACGCCTTGGGCTTGGTCTACTGGGAGATTGCCCGAAGGTGCAATGCAGGAGGTAAACTTTGTGTGCCTGGGCCAGTGGCCATGCTTGCTCCTGGGTCTCCCAACCTTGGGGTTCCATTGATCACGTGTCTGGGAGGTTTGAGGGACAGCAGGGCTGTGGGAGGACATGTCCCTGTGTGTTGTCACCTAGGGAGGTAACAGAAGTGACCACAAAGGGAACAGAAATGACCACAAAGGTAACAGAAATGACCACACTAAGCCCAGCCAGTGCTGGGTGAAGGGTGTTGGTGCTCCCAGTGGTGGCTGGTGTTCCTCTGGATGGATTTTCAGGAAATGGTGGTGCTGACTGCTGGGGGACTCCCCAGATCAGTATAAATGTCTTTGCACGTGCAGCTGCAGCATCATCCCACGTGTGACAGTCCCACTGCTGTGGAGGTTCAGTGACCCTGGCGCCTTGCTGGGAGGTGTTGATCCCAGCCTGCTGACTCCGTTCCAGTTTAGGCAGCTGCATTTTATTTCCCTGAATTTTTCTTGTTAACTCCAATTCCAGATTCTTCATTTCTGTTCTAAATAACTGCAAAGTGTTGACGCATCTCAGCAGTGAGTCATGGAGCCCAAACCTCTCTCCGTCTGTCTTTAGCAAGCACAGTGGCCACGGTCCCTGTTCCCTGGAATTTGATTTTTCCTGCTCTGTTTTTCAGGTATCCATGAGGAGTATCAGCTTCCCTACTACGACCTTGTGCCCTCTGATCCCTCGATTGAGGAGATGCGGAAGGTTGTGTGTGACCAGAAATTGCGGCCAAACATCCCAAACTGGTGGCAGAGCTATGAGGTGAGGTCTGCTTTCATCTCCATGTCCCCTTCCTCTCCTGTGAGGAAAGGCTGAGAGAACTGGGATTGTCCAGCCTGGAGGACAGGAGCTTTGGGGTGACCTGATTATGTCCCTGCAGTATTTGAAAGGAGTCTGCAAGAAAAAGGGGGGGAGAATCTTTACAAGGAATTCCAGGACAAGACGGGGTGGTTTCCTGCTGCCAGAGGGCAGGGTTAGGTGGGATATTGGGAAGAAATTCCTCCCTGTGAGGGTGGTGAGGCCCTGGCACAGGATGCCCAGAGAAGCTGGGGCTGCCTCTTCCCTGAAAGTGTCCAAGGTTGGATGGGACTTTGAGCAGCCTGGGATAGTGGAAGGTGTCCCTGCCCATGGCAGGGCATGGAATGAGATGGGCTTTAGGGTCTCTTCCAACTCAAACCATTCTGTGATTCCCCCAGGATGAGGTAACAAGTACTGTAAGGTGTGCTCTGATTTTGGGGGATGTGGAGGCTGTGTCAGTGCCCAGGCAGAGCAGCAGCCTGGCAGACCCACGTGGGCTCAGGGGAAGAGCAGGGCACTGACATTTGCTCTTGTTTCTTGCCCAGGCACTACGGGTGATGGGCAAGATGATGCGAGAGTGCTGGTACGCCAACGGAGCAGCTCGGCTCACTGCCCTGCGCATTAAGAAAACCCTCTCCCAGCTCAGTGTCCAGGAAGATGTGAAAATTTAAGCTCTGAGCCTCAGCAGGAGGAAACTGCACAGGAGCTGCTGTGCTAGAGTAGACATGTGATGGAGGCCTACCTCGTGTTTCAGCCCAACCTACTGCTACAACCAGACAGCGGGACCTGCAGGCTGCTAGGCAGGGGGACGGAGCCTACGGAACCGCTCTCTTCCCTGCTTGGGTATGAAACAATCCAAAACCTTTTGTGATCACCTCCTGAGAGCGTGGAGACTTGAGAGGGACTTCACCCGAGGGATCTCAGCCATGATCGTAACTCTTTGTTCCTTTCAAGGAAATCCCTGTAAAGTTCAGCGTGCGTTGAGCACCCATTGGTGGGGTCGGAGCCAGCCCCGGGTGCTCGGTGCCGGGAGTGGGAAGGGAAAGGGAAAGTTTTCTTGCCGTACTCTCGAGGATTTTTCCAGGGACTGGCACATTAATGCAGAAAAAGCAAAACAAATGGTGCTCTCTTCCAAGAGGCTGAGCCAGAACAGTTGTATCAGCTTCACAAAACCGTTCTCCCTCCTTTTCTTAAGCTTGAAAAACAAAAGTCCAAGTGGGCGCCCCGGCGGGCGCCCGGTGTCTGCATGCGCGAGGTGCGCGTGTCCCCGTGCCTGGTCATCTCCTCATAGCCGTGCGGTGTCTGCCCGTGGGTGGCTCATCTCTGTCCGTGCTTCCTGTGCATGTGCAAATCTCGAGTGTCCCGTTTGTGAGCTGTTGCTGGTGCTCTCCGTGCTGAGTCGTGAGCGTCGTGGAGCTTTGGACAGGCTGCTGCAGAGCGGATCCCTGGCTCCCCGATGGGCGCCGCGGCCGCGCCGACTCCGCCGCCGGCTGCCACAACATCCCATCAGGTTGCCTCACTGCCACCCCCTTCCCTTTTTTAAGACAAAACGAAAATGAGGAACTGAGAATCACTCCTGGAACCCAGGTTTTTTTTGTCTTGAGCCCCCGGGGTTTGTAATTCTGGCTAGCGGGGAGCTGAGTTGTGTCAGAGGTGGAGCAGGCGCTGTGGGGGAGTGCAGGACTCTGTTCTCCTGGGAACACAATTCCCAACTCCACCACCCAGGCAGATTTCTGGGGGTCTGGTGATGATGCAGCACTGCAGGCTGGGGACAGAGTGGCTGGACAGTGGCCAGGCAGAAAGGGGCTTGGGGGTACTGGTTGGCAGCTGACTGAGAGTGAGCCAGCAGTGTGTCCAGGTGGCCAAGAGAGCCTGGACCAGGAATGGTGTGGCCAGCAGCAGCAGGGAGATCATTCCTCCCCTGTACTTGGCACTGGTGAGGGCACACCTCGAGTGCTGTGTCCAGTTCTGGGCCCTCAGTTTAGGAAGGAGATTGAGATGCTTCAGCCTGTCCAGAGGGGGCAATGAGGCTGTGGAGGGGCTGGGAACACAAACCCTGTGAGGAACGGCTGAGGGAGCTGGGGGTGTTCAGCCTGGCCAAAAGGAGGCTCAGGGGAGACCTCATCACTCTCTACAACTCCCTGAAAGGTGGCTGTGGCCAGGTGGGGTCTCTGCTCCCAGGCAACCACTGACAGGAGAGGACACAGTCTTAAGCTGTGCCAGGGGAAGTTTAGCTTGGACATCAGGAAAAAATTCTTCACTGAAAGAGTGATTGGGTACTGGAATCTTCTGCCCAGGGAGGTGGAGGAGTCACTGTCCCTGGACATGTTTGAGAAAAGACTGGGCATGGCACTCAGGGCCATGGTTTAGTTGATGAGGAGGTGTTAGGTTAGGTCATAGGTTGGACTTGATGATCTCTCCCTGTGAGGGTGGTGAGGCCCTGGCACAGGATGCCCAGAGAAGCTGGGGCTGCCTCTTCCCTGAAAGTGTCCAAGGTTGGATGGGACTTTGAGCAGCCTGGGATAGTGGAAGGTGTCCCTGCCCATGGCAGGGCATGGAATGAGATGGGCTTTAGGGTCTCTTCCAACTCAAACCATTCTGTGATTCCCCCAGGATGAGGTAACAAGTACTGTAAGGTGTGCTCTGATTTTGGGGGATGTGGAGGCTGTGTGAATGCCCAGGCAGAGCAGCAGCCTGGCAGACCCACGTGGGCTCAGGGGAAGAGCAGGGCACTGACATTTGCTCTTGTTTCTTGCCCAGGCACTACGGGTGATGGGCAAGATGATGCGAGAGTGCTGGTACGCCAACGGAGCAGCTCGGCTCACTGCCCTGCGCATTAAGAAAACCCTCTCCCAGCTCAGTGTCCAGGAAGATGTGAAAATTTAAGCTCTGAGCCTCAGCAGGAGGAAACTGCACAGGAGCTGCTGTGCTAGAGTAGACATGTGATGGAGGCCTACCTCGTGTTTCAGCCCAACCTACTGCTACAACCAGACAGCGGGACCTGCAGGCTGCTAGGCAGGGGGACGGAGCCTACGGAACCGCTCTCTTCCCTGCTTGGGTATGAAACAATCCAAAACCTTTTGTGATCACCTCCTGAGAGCGTGGAGACTTGAGAGGGACTTCACCCGAGGGATCTCAGCCATGATCGTAACTCTTTGTTCCTTTCAAGGAAATCCCTGTAAAGTTCAGCGTGCGTGGAGCACCCATTGGTGGGGTCGGAGCCAGCCCCGGGTGCTCGGTGCCGGGAGTGGGAAGGGAAAGGGAAAGTTTTCTTGCCGTACTCTCGAGGATTTTTCCAGGGACTGGCACATTAATGCAGAAAAAGCAAAACAAATGGTGCTCTCTTCCAAGAGGCTGAGCCAGAACAGTTGTATCAGCTTCACAAAACCGTTCTCCCTCCTTTTCTTAAGCTTGAAAAACAAAAGTCCAAGTGGGCGCCCCGGCGGGCGCCCGGTGTCTGCATGCGCGAGGTGCGCGTGTCCCCGTGCCTGGTCATCTCCTCATAGCCGTGCGGTGTCTGCCCGTGGGTGGCTCATCTCTGTCCGTGCTTCCTGTGCATGTGCAAATCTCGAGTGTCCCGTTTGTGAGCTGTTGCTGGTGCTCTCCGTGCTGAGTCGTGAGCGTCGTGGAGCTTTGGACAGGCTGCTGCAGAGCGGATCCCTGGCTCCCCGATGGGCGCCGCGGCCGCGCCGACTCCGCCGCCGGCTGCCACAACGTCCCATCAGGTTGCCTCACTGCCACCCCCTTCCCTTTTTTAAGACAAAACGAAAATGAGGAACTGAGAATCACTCCTGGAACCCAGGTTTTTTTTGTCTTGAGCCCCCGGGGTTTGTAATTCTGGCTAGCGGGGAGCTGAGTTGTGTCAGAGGTGGAGCGGGCGCTGTGGGGGAGTGCAGGACTCTGTTCTCCTGGGAACACAATTCCCAACTCCACCACCCAGGCAGATTTCTGGGGGTCTGGTGATGATGCAGCACTGCAGGCTGGGGACAGAGTGGCTGGACAGTGGCCAGGCAGAAAGGGGCTTGGGGGTACTGGTTGGCAGCTGACTGAGAGTGAGCCAGCAGTGTGTCCAGGTGGCCAAGAGAGCCTGGACCAGGAATGGTGTGGCCAGCAGCAGCAGGGAGATCATTCCTCCCCTGTACTTGGCACTGGTGAGGGCACACCTCGAGTGCTGTGTCCAGTTCTGGGCCCTCAGTTTAGGAAGGAGATTGAGATGCTTCAGCCTGTCCAGAGGGGGCAATGAGGCTGTGGAGGGGCTGGGAACACAAACCCTGTGAGGAACGGCTGAGGGAGCTGGGGGTGTTCAGCCTGGCCAAAAGGAGGCTCAGGGGAGACCTCATCACTCTCTACAACTCCCTGAAAGGTGGCTGTGGCCAGGTGGGGTCTCTGCTCCCAGGCAACCACTGACAGAAGGAGAGGACACAGCCTTAAGCTGTGCCAGGGGAAGTTTAGCTTGGACATCAGGAAAAAATTCTTCACTGAAAGAGTGATTGGGTACTGGAATCTTCTGCCCAGGGAGGTGGAGGAGTCACTGTCCCTGGACATGTTTGAGAAAAGACTGGGCATGGCACTCAGGGCCATGGTTTAGTTGATGAGGAGGTGTTAGGTTAGGTCATAGGTTGGACTTGATGATCTCAAAGGTCTTTTCCAGCCTGGCTCATTGTGTGATTCTGTGATCTGCACCTCCCAGAGGCGCTGGGCAGGGTCTGACAGCAGGCGTGGGTTGGGAAATCAACATCCATCTTTTTCATATAGGTGTATAAATATCTCCTAATGTGGAAGTGGCTGTGTCTCCGTGTGGGGTGGGGGGATCTGCATGGGTTTTCTTTTGATTCACCAGGTGAGGGAGAGGTGGGGTGACTACAGAGACTGTGGAAGTGAGGGCTGTGGCTGCCCTGATGGCTTTGGCAGTCAGGAGGAGCCGTGGTGTGGAGGTCAGGTCAGTGTCTGCAGTAGAGAACTCTGAAGCCATAACTTTTAACTGGAGTGGTTTTGATTATTATTATTTTTTTAATTATTATTGTTGTTGTTATTATTATTATTATTATTGTTTTCTGGGAGGGTCTGGATTTTAACTTTTTTGAATATTGTTAATTCTTTCTAAGAGCAGAAAAACAATCTCTAATTATTACCTCTTGACCTGTTGGTTTGTAAAGAAATCACTGAAAAAAAAAAAAAAAAAGAAAGAAAAAACCAAATGCACAGCTCGATTTACACTGGAACTGTTTCTACTCTGACCTTGCTCCTGCTCTCTAAGGTGAGGTTTCATCTCTGCTCTGGCTGCCAGGGTTGTCTTTATTTCAGTCCCTCTGTTCTTGCTGTCTGTCCCTGTCCGTGTGTCCCTCTCCCCGATTCCCCGTGTGTCCATGACCTTGTACAAAGTGAGGAGTGGGTTTTGAATCATGTTAGGAGCTGGTTTGCACCCCCCAAGGAGGTTTTGGGAGTGTGGATCTGCCCTGGGGGCAGGGCTGGGACTCCCCTGTCCCCTCCCAGCTTGTCCTGAGTCATCTCAGCCCGAGCTTCCCAGCTGCCCGTGTCCCTTAAACCTGAGTTCAGGAGCCAAGGGGGCACCTGCAGGCCCTAAATGTAGGTTTAGCCTAGTTAAACCTGGACTTGGAAGCTGAGAGGGGCACTTGAAGCCCTAAATGTCAGTTTAACTCTGTTAAACCTGGACCTGGAAGCTGAGAGGGGCACATGAAGCCCTAAATGTCAGTTTAACTCTGTTAAACCTGGACCTGGAAGCTGAGGGGGGCACTTGCAAACCCTAAAAGTCAGTTTAACTCAGTTAAATCTGGACTTAAAAGCTGAGAGGGGCACTTGCAGGCCCCAAATGTAGGCTTAGCCTAGTTAAACCTGGACTTGGAAGCTGAGAGGGGTGCTTGAAGCCCTAAATGGCAATTTAACTCTGTTAAACCTGGACTTAGAATCTGAGGGGGGCACTTGAAGCCCTAAATGTCAGTTTAACTCTGTTAAACCTGGACTTAGAAGCTGAGGGAGTCACTTGCAGGTCCCGAATGCAGGTTTAGCCCAGTTAAACCTGGACTTAGAAGTTGAGAGGGGCACTTGAAGCCCTAAATGTCAGTTTAACTCTGTTAAACCTGGACTTAGAAGCTGAGGGGGGCACTTGAAGCCCTGAATGTCAGTTTAACTCTGAGCTGGTTTGCACCCCCCAAGGAGGTTTTGGGAGTGTGGATCTGCCCTGGGGGCAGGGCTGGGGCTCCCCTGTCCCCTCCCAGCTTGTCCTGAGTCATCTCAGCCCGAGCTTCCCAGCTGCCCGTGTCCCTTAAACCTGAGTTCAGGAGCCAAGGGGGCACCTGCAGGCCCTAAATGTAGGTTTAGCCTAGTTAAACCTGGACTTGGAAGCTGAGGGGGGCACTTGAAGCCCTAAATGTCAGTTTAACTCTGTTAAACCTGGACTTAGAAGCTGAGGGGGGCACTTGAAGCCCTGAATGTCAGTTTAACTCAGTTAAACCTGGACTTAAAATCTGAGGGAGTCACTTCCAAGCCCTAAATATCAGTTTAACTCTGTTAAACCTGGACTTGGAAGCCGAGAGGGGCACTTGCAGGCCCCAAATGTAGGTTTATCCCAGTTAAACCTGGACTTAGAAGCCAAAATGTCCGTTTACCCCAGTTAAAGCTGGACTTGGACCCCGAAGGGGGCACTCGAAGCCCTGACTGTCAGTTTACCCCAGTTAAAGCTGGACTTGGACCCCGAAGGGGGCACTCGAAGCCCTGACTGTCAGTTTACCCCAGTTAAAGCTGATTCAGAAGCCGAGGGGGGCACTGGAAGCCCTAAATGTCAGTTTACCCCAGTTAAAGCTGATTTAGAAGCCGAGGGGGACACTGGAAGCCCTGGGCACTCCCAGGCCGTTGGAGCAGAGCCGGGCTGGGAGCTGGGCAGGGCAGAGGGGCCTGGCACAGCTCTGGGTACTGCAGGCTCCCCCCTGGCACTCCCCTGGGTGCCAGCAGCTCTGAAACTCGCACTGAACTCGCCCCCTCCAACTGTAGCCACACTGCACCTGCCTCAGCGCCAAACCAAACAGGGCTCAGGAAGGGAAGGATTTTAGGGAAAGCCTTGTTTCCCTGAAAGGAGAGAGATGGGGAAAAGCCAGCAGGAACCAACGCTGACCATGTAGCATTTTCACAGCACTTTTCATGCAAACCGGTGCCCGGGGGCACCAGTGCTTGCCGAGCTGACTGAGCACGTGGGAATTGCTGCCTGCCTCCAAAAAGTTGCAGCAGCTCTGGGGAAAAAAATAAAAAAAAAATAAAAAAACAAGCAGCATTCCACCAGGCAGTTCCGAGGGGAAGCAGGTGCAGGACAAGGAGGGGGGGTCCATCAGCGGTACGTGGCTGCAGGACAGAATCTTGGTACTTCTCTGCCCCTTTGATTTGTTTGGTTTTGTACATTTTCTTAGCAAAGGACTGTAAGAAAATAGCCACTTAGCCACTTTACCTCTTCAGTATGCAAATGTACATACGGTGTAAGATAGGAAATCTTTTGTTTAATATAAAACCAGGCTGTCGATTTCTGCTGTACATTATTAAAAGGTTGTTTTATTCATGTGAGGTGTTGCAATCTCAGTTCACTGGGAGGGGTGGGAATTGGAGGGTCCCTCAGAGAGGGGTTGGGGGGGAAAGGCTCGTCCCTCACAGCTAAAATAATCTCTTTAGGAATCCTGATCAAAACATTTTAATGTTGAATATTCCCATTTTTAGTGAATGTGCAGCTTCCAACACCCGCCAAGGAGTGCAGTGGAGGTGAGACAAAGAGGTGGCAGGTGGGATTTTCCACCCATGCAGGGATGAGCAGCTGAACTTGGGGCTCCCACTCTGGGGCCAGGCACAGAGCAGGGGTCACAGAGGATAAAAACCCTGGAGATCCCCTCAGAGCATCCCTGGGGGTGTGGTGGGTACAGTGGGCACCTCCCTGGGGCATCCCCGAGCCTCCACATGCACCCACAGCCTCAAGGAAAGATAAATCCCACAACAAACTACCCCGTGCCCCTACAAAATCCTGTTTGCTCCGAGGGTAAATGGTGCTGCATGAACTGCCCCTGCTAATTCCTTAATTAGAGCCTCCTGCAAACGAGCCTGTTGTGAGCGGATCAAGGGAAAATCTGCCGAGGCCTGGGGTCCCCCCGGGCTCAGACAAGGTGGGGAGGGGGAGGCACCATCTGGGCTTGTCCTCGTGCCCAGCTTTGTCTGAAGCTCCTGCTGTGGTCCCCAGGAAAATCCAGCCCCATCCTGGAAATGTGGGCAGCGCTGAGATGTGATGGGGAATTATTCAAGAAAACCTGTCTGCTCCTCCAGGAGATGCGATGGGAAAAGTCTGGGGTGGCTGCAGCCAAGGGGCCAAGTCATCACCGAATTTTGGGAACAAGATGGGGTGTTCCTCGCCATTCCCGGTGCTTTGGTGACTCAGGGTTGGTGGTGGGCTCAATCCCATCCTTCCCCCAGCACTTCCAGCCCAGAGCAGCTCTGCTCCTGGAGCAAATTTGTCTCCTGGTAACCCCAGGCCGGGGCTGTGGGCGGGAGGTTTGGGTGGAACGCCAGCCGGGATTGTTACGATCTTCATTTTTTTTGGCAAATTTTAAACAAACATTTGGGCAAAGCTCTCAAACTCCAGCTGGAAAATTCCCGCTGCCTCCCGCCGGGGCGCAGCGAGGAGCTGCCGGAGCCGCGCGACGCGTCCGCAGCAGCCACCGCGCCGCCTCCGGCAATTGTTCTTCCCTCTCTGTCCCAGCGCAGCTTAGATCGTGCAGGAGCGGTTTAAATCCCGCTGAGAGCCAGCCCGGGGGCTGGGGCGGCCCCTGCCCCAGCTCCTGCCTCCCTTGAAACCCCAAATGCGGCTTTGGTGGCCCGGGGGTGACGTGGTGGCAGCTGTCGGGGAGCAGCAGAGCGTGGCATTGCTTCTGCTCCTGGAAATCCACCGGTTTCTCCCCAAATCATCCCTGAGGTGATCCTTCCTTGACATTCCCACCCTGCACCCTCAGGATACCGCCTCCCCCAGGTTCTTCTGCCCCAAGAAGCACCAAGAGCCCCGCGGTGTCCCTGAGGATGCTCCCACCAGGACCCTCCCTCCAGACCCCCACGCCAGACTCCCGTGGGATCCCCGTGCAGAACTTCATGAAGGGCCCTCCCTCCCACTGGACCCCCACGGGGTCCCCGAGCAGGACCCTGCGCTGACCCCCCCTGCGGACCCCCAGAGGGTCACCGAGCAGGACCCCAGGTGCAACTTGGACATTCCTGGGACCTCCATGGGATCCCTCAGCAGGAACCCAAATTGTTCTGTCCTGCTGGACCCCACCCAAGGGGTCCTGGAGCAAGACCCTCACCCTGGACCCGAGCAGGACCCTCACACAGGACCCCCCCCCCACTGGACGTCGATGGGGTCCCCGAGCAGGACCCTCACATCGGACCCCCTCCCCACTGGATGTCCATGGGATTCCTGAGCAGGACCCCCCGCACTGGACCTCCATGGGGTCCCCAAGCAGGACCCCCCCACTGGACCCACTACTGGTTCCCGATGGGGTCCCCAAGCAGGACCCTCACACCGGACCCCCCCCTTGGACCTCCATGGGATCCCTCAGCAGGAACCCAAATTGTTCTGTCCTGCTGGACCCCACCCAAGGGGTCCACGAGCAGGAGCCTCACACTGGACCCGAGCAGAGCAGGACCCCCTCCACTGAACCTCCATGGGGTCCCCGAGCAGGACCCTCACACCGGAACCCCTCCCCACTGGATGTCCATGGGCTCCTGAGCAGGCACCCCCCCCAATGGACCTCCCCACTGGTCCCCGATGGGGTCCCCGGGCAGGACCCTCACCCCGGACCCCCCGGACTCCACGTGCTCCCGACTCGTGCCCGGGCCCGCAGAGCCGCCGGCCGCAGCCGGACCCTGGGCGTGGTCTATCCCCAAAGCCGCGGTTTAACGCCCAAGTGGGTGGGCTCGGCCCCAAAAAGGGGCGCGTCCCGCCGTGTCCCCACCCCCCGGGTCCATATAGCGGCGCCCGGGACGGCCCGGCCCGGCCATGACCCTGCGGCGGCGGCGGCGGCGGCGGCTCCGGCCGAAGGACGATGCGGCACCGGCGGTGGCCCCGGAGAGCCCCGGGCCCGCCGAGCTGTACCGAGCGCTGGCGGCGGCCGGCGGGACCCTGCCCCGCGTGCGCAAGGTAGGGTTGTGGGGGGAATAGGGGAGCAGCCCCGGTGCCCCCCGGTGCCCCGGGGCTGGAGGGGGAAGCGGCACCGCGGGCGGTGTCGGGCTGCGGGGGGAGCGGGGCTGCGCCGTGTCCCCGTCCCGCGCCGCCGCTGGTGTCCGCGCCCCGCGGGTCTGCTCCGGTTTCTCCTCCTGGGCTCTTATCCTGCCCCCGGGGCCCGCCCGAGCTTTCCGCGTGTCCCCATCCCGCTCTGGTGTCCCCATCCTGCCCCCGGGGTCCGCCCGAGCTTTCCGCGTGTCCCCGTCCCGCTCTGGTGTCCCCATCCTGCCCCCGGGGCCCGCCCGAGCTTTCCGCGTGTCCCCATCCCGCTCTGGTGTCCCCATCCTGCCCCCGGGGTCCGCCCGAGCTTTCCGCGTGTCCCCGTCCCGCTCTGGTGTCCCCATCCTGCCCGGTGGCCGCCCCCAGCCTCTTGTCGTGCCCCAGCATCTCCTCACCCCCGTCCCATCCTTCCGCAGCATCTTCCCGGTGTCCCCGTCCCGAGTTGTCCCCCCCAGGCGTCACATCCTGTCCCGGATCCTGCCCCGGTGTTGTCCCTGTACCCCCAGCCTGGTTCCTCCCCGAGCCCCACATCAAGGTCCCTCCCCACCTTCCCTCAGGTGTCCCTTCCCAGTGTCCCCCAAGCCCCACATCCTGTCCTGGTCCCTCTCCGTGTCCTGCCCTGCAGCTTTAAGGACACAGGGACAGACCCCCACGCACTGTTTGTGGCTCTGTCACTGCGACAGGAGTGTCCCCACGGCCCCCTGGGGACAGGCGTGACCCCACAGCCCCTGGGGAGAGGAGTGACCCCACAGCCCCCTGGACTCTGTCCTGTGAGAAGGGCAAGAGGATCGCCCACAGGGTACCCCAGGACAGGGGTCTGATTTAGGGACAGTCAGGGACAGGTCCCAGAGTCCCCCAGGTCTGATTTGGGTACAGTAAGGGACAGGTCCCAGAGTCCCCCAGGTCTGATTTGGGGAGAATAAGGGACAGATCACAAAGTCCCCCAGGTCTGATTTAGGGACAGGTCCTGGAGTCCCCCAGGTCTGATTTAGGGACAGTAAGGGACAGGTTACAAGAGTCCCCTAGGTCTGATTTAAGGAGGGTAAGAGTCAGGTCACAAAGTCCCCCAGGTCTGATTTAGGGACAGGTCCTGGAGTACCCCGGGTCTGATTTAGGGACAGGTCCCAGAGTTCCCCAGGTCTGATTTAGGGACAGTAAGGGACAGGTTACAAGAGTCCCCTAGGTCTGATTTAAGGAGGGTAAGAGTCAGGTCACAAAGTCCCCCAGGTCTGATTTAGGGACAGGTCCTGGAGTACCCCGGGTCTGATTTAGGGACAGTCCAGGACAAGTCCCAGCGTTCCCCAGGTCTGATTTAGGGACAGTCCAGGACAGGTCCCAGAGTACCCCGGGTCTGATTTAGGGACAGGTCCCAGCGTCCCCCAGGTCTGCTCTGGTGGAGCACGGGGCCCCTGGAAAAGCTCCTCTGTGGTGACGCCGGGACCGGCACCGCCCTGGCGCTCCCCCCGGCCCCGTGGCGCTTCCTGAGCGCCGTGGGAAGCGGGAGCGGGGCGGCATCCGGAGCAGAAGTGGCCTCGCGGCTGTGCTGCCACAGCCCAGACGTGCACGGTGGCCTGGCTGCCGCTCACCAGCCAAGGCCACCACCAGACCTGTCCCTGAGGGGTCCGGGGCGTCCTGCGTCACCTTCCCGTCACTGCGGTGACGTGGGGCCCAGCGTGACAGGCGACAACTTTCCCTTTGCTGAGCACACCCACTTCTGGTGGTTTTGTGCCTGTGGATGCGTTTGGGGAGGTCTGTCACTATCTGGTGACACCAGCAGGGCTGGTGACACCCACGTGGCAGGCAGAGCACAGAGGGAACCGCTGGCTGCCACCAAGATGTGCCACTCTCAAGGGGTGACACTGCCTGCGCTGCACTGGGGCTGCCAGAGCCCAGCAGCCACCCAGGGGCATTTGGGGACAGCCCTGTCACCCCCTGCCCTGCCGTGAGGGTCCTGCCAGTCCCTCCACCCGCCCACGCCTCCGCGCCTGCCACAACAGGGGCATTGTCTGGTGGATTTTGTGGAAAAAACCCGACTTTGTGGCCACAACAGGGCCCCTCTGTGCCGGGGCCCCTCGGAGCGCGGCGTGGGGTGGGCGCGGCGCGGCTGACGTCAAAGCGTGGGGCGAGCACGGGGCACTCTGAGGGTGCCTTTGAGCCCTGATCAAAGCCCCGTTATGCCCGGGGGGCACCCGGGCGCTGGTTCGGTGCCGGCTTGGCACGGCGCTCCCCCGGGGTTCGGTGCTGCCCTGGTGGGACGCGGCGTTGTGGCTGTCCCTGCGGGAGGTGGGGGATGTCCCCTCGGGTGT